TAAACCATGCAATAGGTGAGATAAATACGGGAAACGCAAGGTTCCATGCACAGTTTTAGGTCGATTTACACAGCTTTGAACAAAACATTCTCAGTTTCGAGAATAGTTTATTCTAAACCATAAGAAAAAATTTAATTATGATAATTAGAAGTTGAATTTTTCGCTTTTTCTCTTTCACTTTTTACATTCAGTTCATTTTATTTGCCGGAAAGGAAGCCTTAGAAATTAAAAGGACGTTTGATCAATTCACACTTGCGCATTCTAGTCTTATTTTAAACTTTATAGCGGAAGGATATCTGTGAGCAGGGAATAAGTGAGCACAGAATTTGATTGTAGGCGAATGTCTGTAATCGTCCATCGTTCTGCTAGTGAGAAGCTAGCCGTTGTTCACTCGTCTTGCTTGGGGCTGAGTCTTATTCCGGTCAACGAGAGAGAAAGAGTGTCTGGCAAGGTTTCCAATGAGAGATTTGTGAACTCGTGTCTGGCAAACTCTCCAAGTGTTTATATATACACAGTTATACGCACCTTATAACTTCTTCTACGCTTAGTGTCGAGTGTCGTTAAAATTTTGGTCCATAACTTTCACTGAAACAACTGCTCCACAGAATGTCACTGATAATACGTAACGCAAAAGAGTGTCGAAGTATGACTGCACGATAAATGTCACAAAATCTACCTAAGCGGTCCCTTGGGGATGTTCTATCTTTACGTCATCCTAACCATTTTGTACTTGCGGACGCAAACAATAGAAACGTCATCATTACCTACCGATTCCTCGCGGCCCCTGTTCAAGCAATTCGAGATTTTTTCTATATTGACTCTATGACTGTATATTTCAACTGTAAGTACTTTCCTTAATATACGCGCGAGTTACTAGAGTGCCTCCTTAGGATTTCGCCTTCTGGGCGAAATCCCTGCGGGGGCAAAACCTAAACTGCTAAACGGCACCGAAACCAGTTTTAGGCGCGCGCTGACTTCAAATAACTGTCACTTGTGTTAAAAAAAGAATTGTGGGTAGGAAAAAACATCGAAAAATCGGGAGGGGTGGTAAGATAGTAATTCTGTCTACATCCACTTCTACACAAATCCCTAGCCACAAAACAAGGGAAAAAAAACGACATAAGCAAGCAACACAGTAAACACATGTCAAGCTATTAGACAGGGGAAGTTGAGAAAAATTACAAAATGTTTGCTAACCCGGTTTACATAACTCCAGGTAGATGTAAGAATTTAAGATTTGTATTTTGATAAGCTTGCAAATGAATCATTTATCCAGGAAGGGCTGGCAACTGCCTTTGATCTTGCCGCTTTTCGGCTTTCCATGATCGCCCCAGTTCAGAAATCTGTCAATCATTCGAGAACTGTAGCGAGCATGCGCGAAACGGGCTGGGAACAACAACAAGAAATTCGTCTTCGCAGCGATTCGACAGTGTAAAATGAATTTGCGTTTGGTCCCGTTGGTCATTGCTTTCTTTGCTGTAACCAATGTTTGTCCGTGGTAATGTGGAGCTGATGTTTTCCTTTCTTCTGGTCTTGCGTTTGTCGTTACATGCGATTTACTCCGCTAATAGTCAGGTCTCTTAAGGTCAGGATCGTTACAGAGTTGACAAAAGCACCAAACTTTGCACAGCGATAGCTTGTTGCAGCACCATGAATATTAGAGGGAGTGCCCAATGCAAATATGCCACTGAAGCGTGCTAAACAGGATTTATTTATTGTAAATTTCACCTGCTGGAGTCCCTGTGATGTTTTGATTGAAAATTGTTATTTAATACCTTAAATCACTCAGAATGCTCTTCTCATTTTGTAAACAACAATTTCACTCAAAAATCTGGCATTCCCATCCATTATTAGCTTACTGATTGTATAATTTAGTTGATTATTACTGTGCCCTTAAAGCAAGTCCACAGTCCGCCCACATTTTCATATTTCATCTCTAAGATGGCCTTTTCTTTGCTTCATAACTTGCAAGTACTCAGCTTCTGGGATTCTCTTCTCCTTTTCTAATGTATTTCAGGAGCTGTGTATTTCAATTAGAGGAGGCCTTATTGTGTGGCTTAAGCCTTATTTATCAAGTATTACTTGTCATTACATGCCACTTTAAGGTAAAGAAAGCGTATGGCATAGCGATTCACACACAAAATTTCAGAAAGAAAAAAAGGAAATTGTCAAAGAGTCTTTTGTATTACATATTATCAGGGATTTATGACAGCTGTCCATGAAGAGCAAATAACGAAATGACAGAACCCAAAACAGTTCTTTCCTAAGGAGGTAATTAATTTTTCAGCTTAACATAGGACTGGATGCCTTTCAGTCTCTCTTTATCTGCTGGACGCACGTGCATGTTTTGACAGAGAAGCAAGCATCGTGGCACAAGTCATATCATTTACAATTCCCGTAGTTTGTCTAAGCTTTACAAAGCAAAAACAACAACAAAAAAAGAATCTGGTCTCATAAACGAAAAAAAGAAACAAGGTAGCCCAAGCTTTAAAAAACAGCACAGTTTATCATGAAGCCTCTACATTTGGCACTGAAGCACTCATGTCCAAAAATAATATATAGATTTAGCCAGGGCTAAAAGCGAAGCTCTGGTTAATAATACGTGTAAACAAAAAAAATTAAATCGTGTAATGCTAAACGCGGACGACAATGAATATGGCTTCAAGACTAATAGATGTAATTAGCAAAAAAACCAAATTGCACGTGCAGCACACTTTTTCTTCTAATTAGCAAAAAAAAATTTGCACGTGCAGCACACTTTTTTGTCTTTCCCTTGTTGTTGTTTTGCACGACTACAACGCTGTTTTGTACGGCTAAAACGTCGAACTTCCTAGTTACACATTGTTTTCACGGAGGAATTGTCGTATGTGCTTACCCAATATTTTGTCTCCTGTGTTCATGTTCGCTTTTAATTTTCATTACCGCTCATTTTCACCTTGCTGGTCACTAGCATTTCTCATTTTCTCACCGCCGCTTTGAATTTCCATGTTTTTCTTCCTAAGAAATTCGTCTCCTTTGTTTTCAGTAACTCGCTCTAGCTCTTTCTCTGTTGTCCACGTTAATGTAAACATAAAAAATAACGCCGAAAAAGACACGACTATGTTGTTGTTTTTTCTTCTAAATAAAACCTTGAGTCGCATTTGGGTTGCCATACCTGTTGATTGAGTTATTTTACATTGGTATGCCTGTGGTGCGGACGGACGGTCGCTCGCTCGCTCGGTGTACGGTCACGTGATTACCAAATCTTCTTGGATGGGTAGTTTACCACATTTTCTTACCCATGGTGCTCCGCTGCGCGCTTCGCGCGCGAGAGCTCCGCTAATAACAGCTTATCAAGTCGTAAAAATGAGACTCAGGTGGTACAAGATTGTCTCAATGATAAATGGTGAATGGTTTAACTGCTGAAACTGTAGAAAAGGGGGCCAGGCTAACTTTTAGGGCCTGTTTACATTGAGGAGGGGGACCCCAGGTAGGCATGGTAACCTACTTAGGTGGGGTAGCCTGCCTGTCCATATAATCTCTCATTTTAATTTGATCACGTTTACATGATAGGTGGGGTGACCCTTCAAGGTGGGTAGCCCGGTCTGCCACACCGGGTAACCCTGTCAGCTGAGGTCAAATTTTGCCACGTCAACGTTTCAAGGTGAGATAACCCAGGCTAATCGGGGTCGGCTGATTCGTGATCCATCAAATTCGCGCAAAATTCACTTTGGCGCCGGGTGGCTTCACATAATTATTAAAGGTAACAATAGAAAGCCATAACACTGAAGGTTGCAGCAAGAGCAGCAAGTGAGCGTAGACGTGGTTTGCCAGCATTTTTCTTGTTTACGTGCTTAGTGACCATTCAATAATCTTGAGAAAGTGCACCCCAGGATGGCGGGGTTGTAATATTGCATGTAAAGGAGGCTTGTTATTCTACCCCACCTAAGCAGGTTACCTCACCTACCTGGAGTCCCCCACCTTTATGTTAACAGGCCTTAAGTCTCAGAAACCGTGAAACTGGTAATAAACGGTATACCTAACCCGGGACTACCTGTGATACTACTTCTATCTTCAAAAACGTCAGCATAGCAGCCAAAGGAGCCATTATATCGGTGTAAAATGAATATTAGATTCCGGTTGTTTCATGCGTCTCGTTTTATGACGTTTTCTGTGTGTGTTCGTTTTTGTCACCATCTCTAAATTTCAATCATGTCCAAAATACCCCTACTAACAAAATATTTCGTAAAACTCTTTAGAATGATATTCAGCAATAAAAACAAGGTGTGACCAGGAGCCGATTTCTAGGCTCCTGGTGTGGCAACATAGGCATAAGTGAATGCAAAGTTTAGCGGTATGTAATCTCTCAGAAATCTGTTTGAGTGGTCAAAGTTGGGGCTGATGGGCTTTTTTGTCATGACCACTCTATTGTTATAAGGGACCAGGCCATAATTATTGTTGACCCTTGCTTTTTTTTGTATTTTCTGTAATTTTCCGGGGGCACCCAACGTCAATTTTCGGAAAATATCTGTTCGGAAGACCATTTGAGATCTAGAATTTTCGGAACATTTGTTGTAAAATTTCTTGCTTACCTGCCTTTCCTAGGATTTTCGATTATCCAAAAAATGGAATAATTGACCATTTTTAACGGATTTTTGCCCTAAAGAGGTCACCTAGAATTTTCGGGAGCCTTTTCTCTGGCTGAAATTTTCGAAAAGGTAAATTTCCATCCCTATAATTTTCGGATCACTTGACTTTCAGCTAGGAAATCCGAACAGATGAAAATTTTTAGGGGACAAAAATATGCCTATGTCTAAAGTTTTAATACTAAAATACGTTTAACAATGCTGTGCTTAATTGGTTTTGAACTATGTTCTCGTTGGGTGCCCCTGATTTTCCACAGCATTATTTTGTGAAAAGTTGGTAACTGAATTGCTCTTGAGGAATTCGTGATCGTAAGATTTCGTAACCACGGGGTATTCGCCTAATTGCATCAAACAAATTACATTTCAGTTTCATAAATGATGCATCATTGGTTGGCTAAAAGAGACCTTGTTCCTCTTCTGAAGTTAGTTTGTTTGTAAATTGTAACGCACGCGGCGACCTTCCTTTTTTATGAAAGATCGTATAGACCTACCATTAACACCCTGGTGCGAGGGCTCTGAAGTGAATGAGCTCCTTACAGGTTTCTAGGCATGCAGGGACCTCATACACTTTTTTTTAAATGCAAGTGTGTAAAAAATAAAGAGTGTTAAAAATTCCTGGAGAGGCATGTTTTACAACCTCGTCCCCAGGGCTTAATAGAACGGTGAAAAAGGTGAAGCGATCATATTTTACTTCAATAACTTGTGACAGTAATAACTGATAAACTTATCAGTAATTACTTATCAGTAATAACAGATAAACTTGAGGTCGACGGTGCGCTCCTTTTACCCTCCCTCTCTCCATTAATGCTCTGTTTTAAGGGTATTTCAAGCTTGAAATAAGAATGTGTTGACACCGGGGATCAAACTCGGGGCCTCGCCCACCGAAGGCTGCGCATTAACCAGAGGAGGACGAAGACGAGGCGGTTCATGTAGCATGTTCATGTAGCATGTCAAAATTTAACGATTCCGTCGTTTAGGATGTGATACATTTGGGTTTTATGTTATTGTATGACAAACAAGAAGAGTACTCACTACAGGGGACCCAATCTGCTATTATAGGTGAAAGTTACCCCCCCCTTTATCTGTAATTAGAACCATTTGTAATGGGCACCCCCCCTCCCCCCCCAGTATTAATCGGCAGGTGGTAAGAAAGCTTTGTGCCAAATTTGACACTTTTGTCACGTCTGTAACGATCCGGCCTATATTTTGCACAAAGAGACCTGATTATAAGAAAGAGACCAGTGAACACTGATCGTAAACAGACATTGTTTTATTCCTCGATACCGGACCTTTTGACTCACTTCATCTCTCTAGATGCAGGCTCTCAAGCTGTGTTTCTGTTTAGAAGACCCACAAGACTAAAAGAAGGGCCAACCCTCCAATACGTATGTAGAAGAGTTTATATTTTCAAGTGAAAGGCCCAAAAGTAATTCTTTGTGACATTAAAAAAATGCGGTGGCTGTGGTCGTGGAGTAGAAGAGTTGTCAGAGTTGTTTACGGTCTTACTACACCTCCTTCATTCTTTATCCTTGATTTTGAACTTATCCTGGCAGAGTTGCGTTGGATGATTGAGTGGCATGGTCAAATCACGTAGTCCATGTATTTCTTTATGTACGAGACAAAAGCTAACTAAATTTTGCCAAGAGATCATTCTCTCTTGATTTTGCACATGCTGATATGCTTACGTTCTTATCTTCCTGTGATTTAATTTAAACTTGACCGTAGTTTCCAGCAAGTAAAGCTTAGACAAATGAAAGGGTAATTATTTTGTGTGTTTGGAATTCTCTTTTCATGACAGCAGTTATTACACTGCCTTCAGTTTGAGTCCTCATTTAAGTACGTTTTGTTGCCAACAGAGAGGGAAAAATCATAAATTCCAAAAACTACACTACCCCTTGGAACAAGACTATGGTTTTAAAAAAGATTAGCTAAGTTCAGAAAATAAATGTTCCAGTTTGCATGTTTTTGACAAGGACCACATCTGGCTAAATATGCTTCAAAGGAAATTTATAAAATCGGGAAAATGGTGATTTTTCTATTTTTGCCTTTCCTTTGCATCAGTTTTTGCCATACAGTTGCATATAACGTTTTACATCTTTGGACATCAACGTGCCAGATAGTTTGTGTCTGTATAAAAATGAAGTTAATGAAATCAAACTCTTTCAACTTAAAAATTGCCTTGTACTAGTGGATAGGAAAAACACCATAGGATGCCTTGGGAAAAAATGTAAAATGATTATTGTTAAGGTAATATTATTTGTAGTCAACAATAACAATTAGAAGCTTGTGTTGAGGCAGGCAAAAACATCTCATAGAGACCATAAACCTTCACTGACTTTGCTGTCACAACAAGTGGTAAAAGGGTATCAAAAAGTGAAATCACCTCCCTGGGTTTGGTATGCATAGTTGGACACATTGTTAATTTCCCTACCCTTTTTAAGCCAAAAGACCTTATTTTATAATCTGATTCATTTCATTTAGCACACATAATTCAGTTAGCTTGTAAACCCAGAAACATGGAAAAAAACTTGGGGAAAAAATGGTGGTACCAAAAATGTAATTACAGACTGCTCTTCATTAACCTTTACAGCCCAAACAGACACCCTGTTCAAAAGTCTAAAGAGTGAAATGGTCACCACCTTAAATAAGCTGCACATACCCATCTAGGCCAAATAAGCCAAGGGTAGTATCGTAGAAAGAACTGCTGAGGGGATTGGGCTCAAGGGACAATAACTTCTTTTGATGGTTGATAAAAAAATCAATTTTACCTGTTTGTTTTAGTTGTAAATCGGATTCATAACTTACACAAACAATTGAAGTTGTACATTTTTCAAGCTCCTTTTGATTCTCGTTATAAACTTTGCAAAACATTCCATTTTTTTTTCTGTTTCTTGTACTTCAGTCCTTTGAGGGATTTTCTCAACGCATACCGCTTTCTGATGTACTCACTCTTATTAGCAACTGGATTAGCCTCTTGTCCCCACACTAAACCATTATAATCATTTCAATTCAGAACTATGGGGAGTTTTTGTACAAACAATTTCAAGGAAATACTTGAAACCGAAGTCACTATCTAATATAAAAGTACTAAATACGGTATTGCTGTTGGAAATATTTATTGATTATCACTCCAATGATGTTTCAGTGAAGATTTTGAAATTTCAGTAAACCTCTTCCAGCCTTCTGATATATTAAAAATAGTTTACATTTACAGACCCAGTATCCCAGTATATGTGAAGCAAAGTGATTGGAACATTTACCCTGGCTTTTACTAAACTGGCCCTATATTCTGTATTTAAGCCCATAAATATTTGTTGTGGCTCCCAGCGTACAAATAAACGTAGAAAATTGGTTTAATAAACATTCACATATGGCTGTTGCAAGACTCATACTAATGTAGTGTGCTCGTAGCATGTGTTTAGGATGAGGAAGAGAGTCTTAATACCGCTGTCAAGGGAAAAATATAAGAGATGGAGCAGGGTGGTAGCTCGTAAAATTCACGGATCTTATAAATATAAACTGAACTTGCCGAGATGCCGAATCACGAAAAGTGAAGTCACCCGTGAACTGTTCATACATCATGCCTGCTGACGTCCAAAAATTCCATTTAAAAAGTTCATGAAAACCTTTTCTTACGTTAGGGCGCGGGAAAACTTAAAACTGAGCAAAACCTAATCGTCCTTCCATGTCTGGATTCTCCGCCATATTTGTTTTGAAGGAAAATTGGTACTCAGTCTCACTCGGCCAAATTTCTTAACTGGGGCGATCATGTAAACTCGGTTCCAGACCTCGCTCCCAGACCACCCTCCTCCCCCCCGCGCGCCGCATTTATCATATGCATTCACATAGTGCAACCAAGATTTTAACATTTTTTCAAGGAACTTATTTAATAGCCATTTCTGGAAAAATGGCCATTTCATTTGCACAGTTTACATACAAATGAAGGGCTCCAAGTAACAGCCTCCCTAGTCTCCCTCGCAGCCGTTTTTTCGATGACACGCAACGCTCCCCCCAAAAATCGGCTGCAAGGGAGACTATAACCTCCCTCGTCCTCACTCATTTTGGATCATGTGTCTTTTAGGGGACTGTCGATCAATGTATTGGCCGGCATCTCGCTCGACTGTTGTTCGATATATTGGCTGCTATGTAAGCCGATAATCGGTCGACTCTTGGTCGACTCTCGACCGATATGCTGGTGACACTCGGTCGCTACAGTTTATCGGTGAATAGTCGGCCAATAGTCGGCCGTGATGTGCCGACGGATTGTCGACATATCAGCGACACTTGGCCGACCTAACGGACGATACCATGGCGGAAATGTGGGTCGACCTGTTGGTCGATGTGGTGGTCTAGTATCAGCCGACTGTCGGCCGACAGTCGGCCACGTCTCGACGGATATGTGCTCGGTACTTGACCGCTACAGTCTATCGGCCGCCGATACTTTGCCGCCAGACAGACAACAATCAACCCGTTGTCAGCCGAAACCGATATGTGTAACAAGCATTAGTGGCCATTGTGTGTCAGCTGACGTCAAAAACCTTGTAACAAAGGGCAAAGCATAGAGTAAAAGCGATAGCGATTGTCGACCGATACACTACCGATAACTTACCGATAGTTGACTGATAGTTCACCCATACACTGGCGACACGCTACTGATGCTATCGTGGCCAACTTTTGGTCGATTTGTTGGCTGATACTTGACTTACAGTAAAACGTCACTCGACCAATATATTGACCAACTCTAGGCGATGCCGATTGTTGACCAATACACCACCGATACCTCACTGATACTGAACCGACAATTCATGGATACATTGCCGACACATAACTGAATTTTTTTTTAAAAGTTTCATTTCATGATTCCAAAGTACAACAGTGCTGATGACACACTACTGATGCTATCTTGACGGACTGTTGATCGATCTGTTGACCAATATGCGAGCGACAGCATAACACCACTCGACCAAGATATTGGTCTATACTCAGCCAATATTTGACCGAATTTCGACCGAGTATCGGCCGACGTAGTGGTCAGTATATCGATCGAAAGTCGAACGAGATGCAGCGTGCAAAGAATACAGTGTCCCATAGCACGGGGCTAAATTTTGTTATCGGGCTAGTGAATTCTGTTCTTAACTTGCCCGACAGGCAAGTGAAGTATTTTGAGGAATTCAACTTACTTACAAAAGAACTGTGAAATCACTACTGCTCATCAAAAAATTTGGGGGCTAGTTGAAATGACGTTCGGGTTAGTAATTAAATGCTAGCTTCAGCTTGCCCGATTGGCAAGCTGTAAAAATGACTTTCTTTGCACCCTGGGGATGTCAGCCGATACATAGATCGACAGTCCCCCAAAAGATACATGATCCCTCATGTTTTGAAAAGGACGTTTTTCTATGGTTTTCATCTGTTGCTAGTATTCTTGGCATCAATGTTTGGATCTCAAAAAGAACATGAGCTGTTATAACCAGCCCTTATTATTTCCTCTCATGCTTCTATTATCATTTTTGAACCACAGTTTAACAGAGAAAACAAAAGAAAATTGTCCATTACTATGTTAGACCAACTAATAAGCATGATGGTGCTGTATCAAGTACACCGTAATTTGTAGGGAGTTATTATAACTCCAAAAATGGAGTAAAAATTTTAGGTGCAGGATAACCCCTTTTTTGGGGTTATTTTAACTCCTAATTTAACTCCGAATTTGGGCTCATTTTTACTCCTGAAAAAGAGTTCTTTTTACTCCCAGTCTGGAGTTAAGATAATTCCGAAATGGGGTTACTTTTACTCCTTACATGGATTATTTTACTCTTTTTGGAGTTAACGTAAGTCTGAAAGTGGAGTAAAAATTTTAGGTACAGGATAACTCCTTTTTTGGGGTTATTTTAACTCCTCAATATCTGGGGTCATTTTTACTCCTGAAAAAGAGTTCTTTAAACTCCTTTTTGGAGTTAAAATAACTCCCCAAAAAATAACTCCACTGTAAGGAGTTAAATTAGCCCCACTAGAGGAGTTATTATAACTCCCTGAAAATTACCGTGTAAATAAGATAGGCGGGCATTAAAATGAGTCTTAAGATCATGACTTTTATAATGCAAGGCATTTTAAATTGAAAGTGCAGTTTTATTATTTCAGTTAATTGAATAAGACTACTTTTAGTTTATTTATGAATTCTTAACTTTGTTTCTGTTAAACTTTGATCAGGCACTGTTGATCTGCATAACTTGCCACTAAAGAAAACAGCACTGAAAGGTCTTGAGCTGCCATTAGAATTGAAGTCAGGTTTTATTGGTCATCTGCAGCTATCTATTCCATTGCGGCGACCAAAATCAGAGCCTTGGATTGTTCATGTGAACAAACTTTATCTTGTTGCGGGGCCTCTTCAGCATTCACAGGTTGGTGTGATCAAAGTTTAATAGTAGAGGAGACTGGTTATGTAATGTGGCAAACATCAAAGATAAAAACAACAATTATTGATGCTACAGTTTATGTTAGGAGCTCCTGAATGGCCCCGTGATCAATCCTTAATGCAATGTTTTTAGTGTTCAATAGAAATGCTATCGAATGTTGTACATATTTAAGTGTACAAAAACATATGACAAAGGAGAGAATTAATAAACTATGATAAGATTGCACTGCATCAATTTGCTACTCATGATCAGCTATCCTGATGAAGCGATTTTAACCTGGTGTGATACCACCACCTCCCAATAACTGGGACCTTTTTTAAAGGAACCACTTACAATTTTAAGTTCCATATATCAGGTGTTAAACTTTATAGGGAGTTTGGAGCAAATGATTTCAATTACATTTTAAAAAAAGGTTTTTACTTAGCCTGCGAGCAATCTCTCCAGGGCTCGCTGGTAGTGGGGTGGGAAAAGGAAGGAGAGCTTGGAACTATGTCTCTGGAATTTGAATTCCACCTCCAATTCTCCTGTGGCTCCGACTGAGCTGTCAGATTTCTGACAATCAGCGTTAAGTGAAACGAGCACGAGTGTAAACAAACATTGAAAAACAAATGCCAAGAGTATAATGACATCATTAATATTAATGTCATCTCCGCCCAATCAGCATTTCGCATAGTCGTTTTCGATGCAGATATTCAAATAGCCCCTTTGCAGGACTTGGTCACTTGACCATTCTTAAGCAAAAATTATGGGATACAGCTCTAAAAATGGCTTAGATGGAAAAAGCATGAGAAAACTAGCCAGAAGGCCAATTTTGAGGAGACTGACACATAAGACTAAGATTTTATAGCTGCCAGAATGATAGAAAAATTATAAGGATTTTTATGAAAAAAGTGGCTGGGACGCATGGCGTGCGGTCCAGCGATTGTTTCCATACAAATCCTTATAATTTTCCAGAAACTCAAGAAGCTATAGAAGCTTAGTCTTCTGTGTCAGTCTCCTCAAAATTGGCCTTCTGGCTAATTTTCTTGTGCTCTTTCCACCTAATGCATTTTTAGAGCTGTATCCCAATAGGCAGATCGAAACTCACCAGTGAGTCTTCATAGCCAATAACATCACGTCTTAACTGACAGGCCACCAATAACATTGTAACTTAAGTGACCAATCAGGTCAATAACCAGAGTTCAATACCATCAACTAACGTGATGCAATTCACTTTGACTCTGAAGTTTGACTACCGCACAGGTTGTCGGAATGTCAGTCACTGTCATTGACAACAGTCTTATTGAGGACTACGTTCACCCTGGCGATCATACTCAACTTACTTAATTATGAGAATTTATCTTAATTTACATGATTGTATTTTTTTAAAACTAATTTTTAGTACAATGAAGAAGAAGAAAAGGAGAGGGAAAGAGTTCGAAAGCGGAAACGTTTAGATGCTTTGGAGGCTCAGTGGCTTGTAAGTATTGGACAGTGTCTTTTGACTTATAGCTATCTCATTATATTCAAGGTGCAAAGAAAGTCATTTTTACAGCTTGCCATTCCGGCAAGCTGAAGCTAGCATTTACTTGCCCAAGCATCATTTCAACTAGCCCCAGAAACGTTTTGATGAGCAGATTGATTTCACAGTTCTTGTGTAATTTGAATTCCTCAAAAAACTTCACTTGCCCGTCGGGCAAGTTAAGGTGATTCCTTGGTTTTGCACTACGCATCTCTTACTGCGCATAACAAGATGGCCACCGTAAAAAAGAGCATGTGAAGTAACATTATTAAAATGAAGTTGACTGAAGAGAAACGCTATTGGAATTTTTGCTTGCGGTTGTTTCTTGCCCAGGTGAGACTCAAGGTGTTGGAAATGTGCATAACGTAAGCAGTACACGTGTTGCTGAGTTTGACTTCCTCACGGAGAACCTCGATAGCGGATGATAAACTTGTGCTTACTCACTTTGATTTTCATTTAAACGCTTTCTTCATCACATTGTGTCCTAAATGTGATATCTCGATGTAAATTCTGTATAAACGGATTTCTTAATAATTTCTCCCCCTTTTCACGTACATTCTATTTTGAAACTCGCCCAAGTACTCTCTAAAAAATCGGAGAAAATGCATTTGGTGAGCACTTTCTGCAACTCTACCGCAAAAACGAGTACGATGACCCCCATTTTTTATTTCATGATTTTAATAAAAACAGTGCTTCCTTTCGATGAGAGAAAAATTGGCACAAATCTATGTTCAGTTTTTTGGCAATTTTACTTAATTGTTAGGATTTACCTATCACGGGTCGAATAGCGCGTGTCCAATATAATTCTACTTTGGAACGTAAAGTAAAAACAAGAGCATTAAAAGGCATTTTTCTGCTGCGTAAGTCGATAAACAATACATTAAAGTCAAATTCTGTACGATACCACATGCATCATGGAAAAAATCTCTCCTTTTTGTCTGTTTTTGGGCTGCGCGGGTTTTGCCAAAAGGTCCTAAATAGCCCTATTTGTCATCATTGTGACGTCAAAACGAGCACGGTGACCCGCACTTTTTATAACTTTTTTATCATCTTCTTGACTTGTTACATCAGTGTACCAAGTTTCATCTACAATCTAAATTAGGTTCTTTTACTAAGGAATCGCCTTAAGAACAGAATTCGCTAGCCCGAAAGCAAAATCCACTAGCCCCGGGCTATCGGGCACTACTGTCTTTGCACGCTGCATTGTCAATAATCACTGGGGGAGAAAACACCATTTTCTAGAAGTCAGAATCAGTGAGCTGATAGGTAAGATAGAAGAAAAATTACATACATTAGTATTCATGCCTTTAAAGTGATCATGAAATGTATACTGTATACAGTCAAACTTGGATAAAGTGGACCTCTACACTATTGTGTACACATTGTTGGTTTTACCATTGGCCTCTGATCAATCATTTTGCAATTACCAGAAATATAACTGAGGAAAAGATAAGCAGGCTTTTTTGTTAGTCATGCCGGCTTTTTTACTTAACTGCATCTTCAAGTTACCCTTTGTTTTAAAGTTTGTTTTCCAGAGCAATTTTAGCCAGTGGTTAGCAATAGCTCTTTTTTAGCCGTGAAATTAGCCAGCAGCTGGCTCTTAGCAACATTCCTGCAATATAGTGACCTATAGTGTATATGAGAGAAATAATAATAATTGTATTTTTGTTCTTTCTAATAACAGGCAGCAAGAAAGAACAATGCTGCTGCAGGTGGTTTCTGGTCTGGTTCCTGGTGGCCGTCGCTGTATTCATCTTTCTCTACAACAATTGTTGAAAATCTACAGGTATGAAACACTGCTCATCCTTCTGCTCTCGATATTATTAACTAGTAAAATCCAAATAGTGGTCTATTATTAATGCTGCGTTCTCATTGGTTGAGCTACTACTAGGCTATATGTTATAGCCCACTAGCAGCGAAAAGTGCGGGCTTATAATTTTTCAAACATTCCAGCAGCTATAAAATCTTAGTCTTATGTGTCATTCTCCTCAAAATTGACTTTCTGGCTAATTTTCTCATGCTTTTTCCATCTAAGGCATTTTTTGAGCTGTATCCCATAATTTTTGCTTAAGAATGGTCACGTGACCAAGTCCTGCAAACTACTTGGATTTCACTAAAACAATTATTCCTCTCGCCCTCATGGCCTCTGAGTTAATAGCCCATTCGGCCTTCGGCCCTCGTGGGCTATTGACTCAGAGCCCATTCGGGCTCGAGGAATAATTGTTAATTACCCAGTTCTTTATACTCTATTGGAGAAGACCATTCCTGATTAGCCTTTTTTTTAACCCTTTAAGCCCCAATATCCATATACAAATTCTCCAAACTGATCTCAATACATTTCTTAAAGAATTAGTTGAGAGAATTTGATAAACGATCAAGGCATTTTCTCTTTGGTTACCATTTTATTAATTGTCATTAACCCAGTCTCATGATTGTCTCAGGGACTGTCAATAAGCTGGCTAGTTAGCAATCCTTAGCCGGCTACGTTCATCTCCTTCTACCATAACTGCTAACAAAAAATAAGCAGCATCGAATAAAATTTTTAAAGCATTCGTTTCCAGGTTTTGAATGATATTGAACACATATTTAAATAGGTTTACATCTGTGAAACGTTCAAACCGTGCGATTTTGTGGAACGCCGGCGACATTTCGACGGCATTGTTCCCAGGCTTGCATGTATTCTGACGAAACAACATGGCATCTGAAAATACCTCTCAAAGCCCCCTGGAAATGGCATTTTCAAGACTAAATTTCAAAATGTCCCTAGATGCCTCGGCCCACAAGAACTTGTGCCTTTGGTGCAAGTTCCAAAGCTGCCTACTATTTATTATCAGCCTGTTACTTATAAACTTTTTGACAGCCCGGTTGTCTATTGATAATATTACATTGTTAGGAGAAAATTGATGTTGGTCACTATTGGATCTTAAAGGGTAAATCTTAAATCTTATGACCCCTGATTGGAAAGCTCTCTTAAAATTGAACATCACTATTTCATTCCATTGCAATCTTTCTTGTTTTCTATCCTCCCCAGCTTATCATTAGTGATGTACATTTTCGCTATGAAGATGCAACTACTAAGGAATCACTGCCTTTTGCTTTTGGCATAACCATCGCAAAACTGTCAGCACAGTCCACCAATGAAAGCTGGGTAAGTTTTTTGGGATCATTATACATTTCTTGGAAACTCTCCACCTACTCCTCCCCTAAGCCAACATAAACACTTAGGGTTGGTTATTTTGAACAAGTCTAACTTAGACCGCCGTTTAGGAAATCTTTTAACCTCCAGATCTCTTCTTTAGTGGGTTATCTTAATAAGACAAATGCTTTTCTAGTCTACAGTATAGGCTTTAATGAAACTGTTCACGAAAAATGGTGTTTAGAAGAAAGCGTTCGGAAAAGTGAAAATGGCTTAGAACGCGGTTTTGTTAAACACTGGCTAAACTCCATTTAAATAACTGACCCTTACTTCTCACTCAGGGCAAAATGTTGGCTTAGGGGAGGGGTAGGTGGGCAGTTACCTAGAGACGTATAATGATCCCGGGGGGAAGGTAACTCTATTGTTTTCCATCTAAGTTTCTTTACCCACTCCGCCTGCCAGTATGACGACACATAGTAACGGGTAAGAGCCTTGGGTCGCTTGTGCAAATTAGCAAGGGATAGGACAGTTATTTGAACGAGCGAGGTTGAGGAAAAGCTAAGAAGCTAACAAATATCGCTATATATCGCTTATTTGATCGAATGTGTGTGAGCTTTGGTGTTGCTATAATCTGCTTGTGTAAACGGTTTTGGTATCTTGTGTCCGTGATTGTATAATTTTGTTAATCTGTTTTTCCGGCTGTGTTGCGGGATCGCCATCTATTTCACGGGACCGGCAAGGTCATCAAAACTTATTTAAAATCTTTTTTTTTCCTCTAAAATAAGCAAGGTCTAGTCTCCAGAATAGGAGGTTCCAGTCACAGATCACACATGTCTATATCTAATCTATTCTTTTGTTAATTAAACGGGCCTAACTTCATATCATTCCTTTCGAGTCTGGGCCTCTGTTGATCTCCTAATTCTCGACCAAATCCAATAAAGCTAGTTCGATCGATTATCGATTATCGCTTTGAAATACGCGCTTCAGCTAGTTTTTCTCAAATGTATATTTCAATTCATGTTAAATACGGCTCCACCAGCTTCAAACAGCGTCCATGGCAGAGAAAAATTGTTTTGATATGACAAAAGTAATATTTCGATTCATGTGTGTCACTGTGGTGCAGTGGTCAAGTAGTTGCTTGAAAGTGCAGATAAACCGGGTTCGACTCCCGGCGACGCTGTTTCCTGTTACTTTGTACCGTTTTTTTTTTCTGTTTGGTCTCTTTTTTTAAACACCATTTTTCCTTTTGGCCTTTTTTTCTTTATGCTGACCCAGCTGGTCATGCTCTTGGATCAATATATATTTTAAGCTTAAGTCCGTAGTTTTATTTTGGAAAAGGGATTTCAAAAGCTCTTGATCTGCATACTGGCCAAGCTTACGACCAGAAAAAAAAAACAGAAGATGTCAAGACATGTCCCTCCTCTGAAACAGCTGAATTAATTTTAATGTTAGTTGACATCATGACAAACAACACACGGTACACCACAAACTGTACTAATTTACACCCAACACCCACCAGTGACCCACTGGCGAAAGTTAAACCAGTGCCTTTGTACATCGTCTTAATCATCAATATTATTACCCTAAAATCTCCACTTGGTCAGTTGCCCCCAAAAAAGAATTAAACGAAACCTTTTACTGGTTTTCGGGATTTAATTACAGGATTACAGGTGTATACCCAATGCAGTATTAAAGTGCGGTAAAGCAAAAAGATTCAATGCTCACGGTCTCTCACAAATACCTGTTATTTAGCTTTCTCGTTCAACGCTACAGCTCAGCGAACTTTGAGAGGAATGATATGGGGTTGTACTAGCTTTGAAGAGCTGAAATACGCACAATGTAAAGTATAATACATCCTTTGATGAACCTCCTATTGCCGTGTCTAAACTCCTCAATCTAGCTGTGCACTGGCCCTCAAAAGTGTGACTTGTCGGTATAATTGCCCGTAAAATTTGCTCGACGATAGAAAGGAATCTTTAAAATGCATTACTCCACTGGACGTCTCATTCCAAAAAAATACTTAAGTCTAAATTTCTATGACAATAGAAACCTTAAAATCTCCAAATCAAAGAAATCGGAACAGTATTTCCGTGATACAATCGAAATTTTTATCCGTTCTTCGATGAACACTTTGCTCGCCACTTTGAAAGTTACTGACGCGAGACGTGACGTCACACTGGCAGGCGGACTGTACCACAGATTTCCTTGGAGACACCTTCCCCCGAATGATCCTTTTGATCCTTTGCAGCCCTCCCAAGTACTGTACTCTACCGTCCTCAACCCATTGTCCATGTTTCAGTGTTAAATACAAATAAATGAAAAAATGATTATACATGCAATATTCACTTGTGACACTTCTTATTGTTTTCGTGAAAATGTTTCCTACAGAATGTCCAAAAGAGGAAAAAGAGACGAGAAGAAAAAGTAGGGAACCAAAGAAAATTCGTGAAAAAGAAAAAGAGAAGTTTTACGCGCTGTCAGTGTATACCTGAAAACCAAATGGTTGAAAAGTTTCAATCCATTTTTTCCTTCAAAATAATAATTAGTTAAATTAAGGGTAATTACACCATGGTTGTTTTCGCATAACATTCAACATCTACGTGTATTTCTAGTCAGGACTATACGACTTAACTTTTTGCATCGATTGTAAGTGATGCTTTTGATTTCCTGCTGTACAAAAGTCATGCTTTTCATTATGAGCAATGTACAAAATGTATCATCAGTGGCGGATCCAAGGGAGGGGCCCCTCCCTTATTTTTAGACCAAACTGAGGCCCGAAGGGCTGAAACAAAAGTTTTTTCAGACCGACCCCCCCTTATCTTAGGGTCTGGATGACTGCCCCCCCCCCCTTACCTGAAGGTCTGGATCCGCCACTGATTTTGAAGTGTTAAGTGCTCTTGTGAGTTCAATGCTCCCTACAACAATGCTTTACGTTATACAGAATCCAGAGGAGATAATTAAAAATGAGCGAAGCATTAAATACAAACTCATTGAGCTGCAGAACATGGCAATTTACTGGGACACTGATGTTACTTTGGTTGGTGACTTACCATCACGAGATCTTGAGGTAATGCAGAGTTAACTTCTTTAACCTGCGAGCAAGCTCTCCTTTCTCTCCCCTTCCTCCTCCTTTCGCGTCTCCTACATTCATACATACACACATACACACACACATACACACATACATACATACTTTATTGCATACATACACACATACATACACACATACACACATACATACACACATACATACACACATACATACATACATACATACATACATACATACATACATACATACATGCATACATACATAATAAAAATGATAATAATAAAACATTAATTTTACAAACTATTTACATTTTAATAATAAAAAAAACTACCTATGAATTAAAAAGATATTTAAAAATTATCCTTTTAAAAACGTAATAATAATGATAATAATAATAATAATAATAATAATAATAATAATAACGGTTTAATATCAGTACATCCATGGTATGGCTCTTCACCTGATATAAAAGTAAAATGAGGAAATTAACATAAATCTGAATTATGAGTTTGTAAAAAGCTAGGTAATAAACAGTAAAATGTAATTATACAAGATATACATACATTATCTAAAACTAGGCAAGAAATCATTCCGCCCTTTTTCCGGCAGCGCTCTCTTAAGATACATAATGTTTTCTTACTGAAGGATTTAAAATTATCACAACATTTAACATTGGATGGCAGAGAATTGAAGACGGCTGCCGCGCTATACTGAAAAGTGTCCGAGGCGTGGGGAATAACTAGATTTATGGTACTTGATGACCGTAAATTTCTAGCATGTCTTACTTGCTCAAGCTGAAGGTTTCTTGGCCAATCATGAGAGTATATAGCTTTGTGCGCGGCCTTTAGAACGTGCCATTCTCTACGTTCTTTTATAGGCAACCAGCCTTAAGAATGGAGTCAATATTGTTCACATAGCGTCCAAAAACAAAACTGGCTGCCGCAAACTTGATGCGCTGTAACCTTTTTAAAAGGTAATCAGTAATTGGATAGAAGGTTATATCATTAAAGTCTAGGCGAGATAGAACCAGACATTCAACTAAATGAAGAAATTAAGATTAAGATTAAGAAAAAATTTCTTAAAAATTAAGAAATTAAGATTTCCCGTGTCTCTTATAACTTTAACTATACTATTGTACAGTAGGTGAAAGTCTTTTGGCCAGTGCATGGCCAGCCTATACTGAGGCAACGTAAGGTCATTATTCTGTCTAGTGACTCTTTGGTGAGTTTTTGCGCGATATTGAAAGCGTCCGTGAAGGTAACCAGGTGTTAGGTTCTTTAAGCATTTGTACACCATCACTAGGTCGTTAAAAAGCAGTTTATCCCTTACGTTAAGCCATTTAAAGGACTTCAGGACTTCTGAAACATGATGGTACTGTACAGTACCGCAAATGATCCCGAGACCGCAAATGATCCCCAAAATGGACCGCAAGTGATCCCCAAAGTCGACCGCAAATGATCCCGAAAGAAAAATAGGAATGGTTTAGACTCGAGTTAGCGGATCATCGTGTCGATTTTATTATTATTACAAAAAGTAAGATTAAACGCTAAATTTTAGTTCTTAAATAAATACATGAATAAAAACTAAATGAAAAAATCATTGAAGTGTAAAGCGAAGTCGGTAGGCAACACACGACTTTTACCTCATGCTAAAATGCTGCTTGTTCCAATGAATTTTTTCTCTGGCGGGTAGATTATACCTCTGAACGAAAACTTTTTTTCCGAGCAAATTTGATTTTTGCCGCTTATTTCATACTGACAGGTCATGACACGCATTTCTGCGGTTATTGTTGTTTCTGGTCGGCATGATTTGTCCTTTAATGCAAGTGCATTTCGTTTTTGACCTCTTTTGAAATGCAATGCTTTTCATTGCGGCTAAATAAGGGTTTTAGGTTGTTTAATTTTCTTTAAAAAGCCTCATGAATCCGAATGATTATAAGCGACTCTTTTTTAGTCCGTGAATGTGACGGTTCCTGCGATGTTTTGTCACGCGATAACTACCGCTTGCCTCGCTTTTGCGTAATTCATTACCAGGTTTAGATTCCTGGTAACTGTCTCCAGCAAAGGCACAACAAATGGATATACATGCGTCAATATAACTATTCGGAAGATGTTCATGAGATGTAAGCAAGTTTCCCTTTCGAAATAAACCGAAACCTGTGGACATTGATAAGTCCGGGGGCATTTTGACGTGTGTTTATTTCAAATCATGTCTTGTTTCGTAACGGGCACTCCCAGGCCTGGGGCAATCCTAAGTTACGAACCAATGTCTTGCTGTTTATCACGTAAAATTAACACTTCAGAGAAAAATCAAAACTAAATATTCTGAAAATTAATTCGACACTTCTAAAAAAATCAGTAAAGTCAATAAAGCTCTTGTAATGTAGAGGATGCCCGGCTTTGTATTCCTCAGTAGACAAGTTGAGCTTGGGCGTTCAAATAATGAGTTTTTTCTGCGTAACCTCCTGCCTGTCTTAAATTTTCAGCGACGAAACAGTTCTTGAAAGAAAATTGAAGTAATTGACAAAAGAAGAAGTATACGGTTGATACCATATCCATATCATATTTATTCGGCTTTTTTTTTTCGCCTTGTATAAATTGACCTGGCATGTAGCGTCCTCCTTCCCTTTTTCTTTAGAAGGCGCGAGAAAAAAGTTCTTTTTTTATAATCAGTCCTTTTTTGTAATCAGTCCCATAAAATCCATTCCATTCCTCAAATTTTCACGGGATCATTTGCGGTCATTTTTGGGGATCACTTGCGGTCGAGGATCATTTGCGGTCCATTTTGGGGATCATTTGCGGTTGGGGATCATTTGCGGTACTGTACAGTACTTTCTTAAACCAGCTATGATCTTGCAGGCATAGTTCTGAACTAGCTGAGGTTTTCTAACGTTCTTCTTGCTCGTGCTACTCCATACCGTCGAACAATAAGAAAATTTGCTGAAGACGAAAGCATTTATAAGATAGATCAATGTTTTTTTTTTTTTTTTTATCCAAGAGATGCTTTATCCTATTCACTTTCGTTAGCTTAAACATACAGTCAGAGGCAGTTTTAGTGACATGTTCGGTAAAGTTAAGATGGCAATCTATATACAATCCCAGTAGGGAGGGGGGAGCGCCAAAAATCTCACTTCCTGTAAATTGCATTTTCGGATCCCACCCCCTCCTCCCTTTAGCCTTTTGTCGATTGCAAAAGATGATTAATTAACAAGGCATTGTTGCATAATCCCCCCTATTTCTCCTGCTTCCCACCCTCTCCAGGACTTTCACCTCCCTCGCTTTCCTCCCCCGCCCCTCGTACCCCTCCCACCCCCTATTTTTTTGGCTCCCACCCCTTTGTCCTCCTCCACTTTTTGATGAAACAGGGAGGAACATTTTTCTTTCTATAATGCTTATTGTAATATTAACGATAAAGACTAGGTATGTCTGAATCAGACTTCAGCCAAACGTTCAGAGCAAAATATGAACAAAGCAAAGCGTGTGAGATGTAGTTAGACTGTTAGTGTATCAGTTTCCATATCGTTGGGTTTTCAAAGCTGGTAGAAAAGCAAAAGTGACTGTAAAGACTCCCCGCTAGGACACGAATAAAGGTGAGTGTTGTACATTGAGAGCTGGTCGTTAGGAGAAATTCACCTTGGTATATTCTAAGAATGTTACTTATAAGCAAGGAGTTGATAGTCACGTCAATTTATGGAAAAAACTCATTCAATTTCAGAGCGCCCTTCAAAGAATGATTAACAGAAATCAAGGAAAGGCTGGATTTAGTGTGAGTGTTTTTATGCTTTTTTTAAAAAAAATTGCTGTTGATCAATTCGTCTGTTTGTATTTTAATGTTTCCTGTATTCCAACTGAGAATAAAACTGGCCTTCCACGTCTTTTCTTGTTTATCTCGGCAAACGAATGTTTTTGTCACCCATGCACATGAATAATTAAATGACCTACACATATGTATTTGTTTTAGAATCGCATAATTGAGTAAAATCTTGCATTCTGATTGGTTAACGAAGCGAGGTATTTAGTGTGGAATTGCGAGATGAAAACGAGGCTAAGCGATATTGTTTCGCATCTACGTAAGACTGTCGTCAAATTCTAACACAACAACTGCAAAAAAGGTTTTCTATAATGTCATTTTAAAATGTTTTCAAAACCATTGTCACCTTTTGAAGAGTTAAAAGCAAGCAAAAGCGTTTTTTTTTTAAAGTGAGCCGGAGGTTCTTCCTTGTTTCGAACTGAGCTACAAATTTTTCGAGAGGCCTAAAAAACCTCTTTCGCTCGCGACAACTAGAAAACAAGAAAATCCTGTGAACACGACCCAGAAAATGGCAAGCCAAAGTTCAACCAAACAAAACGGAGAAGCGACAATAGAGAAAGTGCCAGGGTCGATTGTCACATATACATAAGAAGAAATAAATACCTTCAAAGACGACATGGCCCCTGAAAAAAACGAAAAAGAGTACGCCGCTTGCAGTCGTCCTGAATCGTGGTACTTAGAAAAGTACAAAACAGAGCTGAACTTGAACAACATTTCTAAAACATCACAAGGTACTTACCTTATAATAATCGCAAGGTTAAGCTTTCAGTGTTTTCGCTTGGACACTTCATTTCTTTCAGTTTTGCCGCCGAAGAAGTAAAAGGTGTAAATTATTTTACTTCTCGAGCAAATGACCAATTTGAAAAAAAATGTTATAGATAAACGGCTTGTAAATTCAGTAAAATACCTTGTTTACATGTAAAAAAAGGTTGAAAACAAATGTAAAAACAAGCAGAAGGTACAAAAACAGTTGTCGAAGGTTCAAACGTGTACGACTGACCTTGCTTCCTATTCCCTAACACAATGAAATTTCTGACAGTTAACTTTGAAATGGCTTTCTGGAGCGTGCGCTCAGGATAAAAAAACAATATTATTGCTGTTTTCTTTTTTTTTATCATATTTATTCAATTATGAGATTCAAGGAAAATCCATTACCTGACTCGTGAATTCCACGTTAAATTGCACTTGAAAACCGATGTCGCACGAATCGCGAAATCAGTTTTCGCGTGGAAATCCCTCGTCAGGTAATGAATTTTCCTAAACTACTGTCTGTGTATATTATTGATAACTCTTTAAAAAAAATTTAAGTCATCAGACGCCTGATTTTGGCTCTAGGCGAATCGGGGAACCACTGTCCACTAGTTTTCCGCGGCAAAACTAATCGGACGCTTTTGGTCACGCATTTACGTTGACTCGTTAGTAACGCCTAAACGCAATCTTTTTCCACTCTCCAGCTGATTATAAACTGGTCTCGTATTAGACATTTCTAGTGTTTATTATAGTGCCTCATGTTAACTTGTCACTGTTATTTTATTTTTTCAGAAACATCATTATATCCTGGAACCTACCAGCGCACAAGCGAAGATGAAAAGGAATGCCAGTGCTCTGCCACTAAGTTCTCAGCAAATGCCACGTTTTGTGGTCGATGTTCACGTGGAAAAGATTCCATTGTCCTTGGAGGAAACACAATACAAGATGCTGATAACCCTGATGGAAGGCTTTGAAAGACATTTCAGGCAATGCCGATACCTTAAATGGAGACCAAAATGCCCCATCAAGAACAAGTGAGAAAAGCAGTTTTATTCCTTTTGATTATGGAGCGGCCCTTAAAGTATAGCGATATTTGCTGCTTACAACAGTGTTTGTCTTATTCAAATGTTTATCGAGTGAGATGCGCTTGTGGTCAGTGGGTTACGTCAGTGTGTTGCTATTGTTATTGACCAAGCTTTAAGTGGCCAGTCACAAAACGGGCAAAATTCAAATGAACCAATCAAATCTCGAGGTAAACCTGTGCAGCTGACACTAAGCGCGGGAAATGCACGGGAGGTACTGGTTGTCTGAAATCGTTGCGAGGTTTTGTAGCCACGGTATTACAAAGTTTCTTTTGACAGGAACTTGAATATAAAATATTGTTGTGTGAAAGATACTTTGTCGCCACGTCTGATAATGTTACATGTAGCTCTGAAAATATGAGGCATGTCATGTTTACCTATGGTCATATATCTCTGTACTAATTGTTGCTATTTAATTTACTATTTGTATTTCAGTGCAAGAGAATGGTGGCAGTTCTCAGTAAACAGCATTCTGCATTCTATAAAGGAAAGAAATATGCGTCAAACTTGGACGTTTGCTGCTAAGCGAGCTCATGACATGGTCAAATACGTAAACATATACACTAATCACCTTGTATCTGCCACCACAGCGGAGCCTGCTCTTACGGTAACTCAGACACTTTATTCGGCTATAAATTAGACAGTAGAGAGCTTTAGATCTGAGACGGGGACGACTACGAGTACGAGATTTTCTCAATACTGACTGTGCTCGACCGTGAACCAGCGTCGTTTTGGCGGGAAACACGTGATAGCTGTCGTCATTCTACTACGAGTTTTAGCGCGGATGTCATAATGGCGAAAACAAGATATCAATGTAAGAAGTTTTATTATTGTGCTATGGGGAGTGGGCTTAATCTCTTTCGGTATAAATAACCGTCCTAACCTTCCTGGGGGAAAAAAAGTGAAATGAAGCTTCCCGGGGTGTCTCTTTTCTAGAACACGAGCAAAAACGTTAAGTTAAATTTGGTACTCGTACTCGTTCTCGTCCTCAAACCCAAAGCTCTCAATTAGCAGCCTGCGCGGCTGATGCAAAAAGGGGAGGGGGAGGGGGAGGAAAAAAACAATCCCCAATACCCCTCAACAGACGTTTCTCCTCGCTCATCGCCGCTGAGGGACGATGAGCGAGGAGAAACGTCTGCCGTTCGCATGCCAATTTTTGGCAAGTAGGCCTACTGTTCTTTTAGAATATCCCGAAAGATCTCACAATTTCACAAGGTTAATTTTTATGACGTCACACTTAAACATTGTATGAGGAAAATCTATCGCTTTCGTCTCCTTGCAAAAGCCTCGGCACATGTGAAATGCAACGTTTCGACTTTTCTAATAAGAGGCAACCCCCGATATTGTGGAAACCCTTGGGACACCTTCGGGATACCCTTCCGACAGAGTGTTACTGTCCTTGCTAGTAGCGTGAACTGGAAGTAACGGGAGTGTGCTTCATTCGAACTTTTGTAACTCATTTTATTTTCTGGGCATCTAGCTGTTGTCCGTATTGTGGGGGTGTGTTCGAGCAACTCGCTCGCTCCACGATGAGGTACCAGGAATCTGATTTACATCTTGGCCTTCATTCTTCTTTGACTTCTGCTAACAATCTTAATCTTCCTACTCTTCTAATTCTTTCTACTTCTCCTACTAGTTCAAGTATAGTAGCGGTTTTAATAGCCAAAGCTGGACATGTTTGGGTTAGCTGACCGGTAGAGTTTCTATTGTATATCTTATCGCTAGCACTGCAACAGGTTTGCTAATGCTAGGGAATAGACTAGCCTACGCACAGCCGCAACTGATAAGTACCAAAGAACGAAGGTCAGCTCTAACAACACAAACACGACCACCTGTGAAATCTGACAATGCCAAGCGAATAACATTCCTAATATGGCAACAAGTAAATTTGCGAGCTAAGGATGAGTTCAAGTACAAGTAGAAACAAAAGATCAAAACAGGAAAACAGTACGTGGACAAAAACAAGATTTAATGAAACAAAAACTAAACTTAAAAGATACGATAGGTCTGTCTTAAAAATAACTTTCAAAATACGCCACAACATCCCCCCCCCCCCGCCTTAGAAAAAGCATCGTCCTTGATGCAAAAGGACGTAATACATATAAATGGGAAATAAGTGCGTTAAATATCAAAACAAAACTGCCACTCTAAACAATATTAAAACAATGTCAACCGTTCAATGTCAATAGTTCAGTGTTCAATACATTGTTCTTGAATCTTGAGACTTGAAAACTTGAGCTAAATAAATTTAGACTTCCTGGAGTGTTCTTGTGAAGGACTTGACTAGAGACTCACTTGAAAACGTTTTGAACTAACAGCATAAATCATCCTGTAGTAGCATACAGGACGGTTGCTTGAAATGCCATTTCAACTTGAAATGTAGCGGAGAACGCATATTTGAAAGACAAGGCTATCTTGCTTGTAAATCACTGATAATTCTTGTTATGAAACACATCTCCACATGAAGCGAACTCGTCTGATGAAGACAGAAAGTACTGACCAGTGATAAGTATCAACAAGCACAGTTCCGCTTTACCGTAACAAAGAAGGGGTCAAACTCGACCAGACAGAGTAGCCAATGCCATGCGGAGTGATCAAGGTGTGTTTAGACTTCCTGGAGATTAACAATCGACCTATGCTTAGACAAATTTGTAGTACAAAAGTGACGAAAAATCACCGACAAGCCATCGAAGGACAATTGAAGAATCGCTGATTGAATAAATGATGAAATATCTTCGCAAGCAACTTTACGAGATAACTATTACAAGCACTTAATATATCTAATTATCTAATTTCCGACGTTTAAGGTTATTATAACTATTTACACAACAGCCAGAGAAACAAAACATAAATATTGAAGCTAATAGATCAAAAAAATTTTATATAATTCTTGAATAATAACTGTGGCAACTTTATAATAATAATAATAATAATAATAATAATAATAATCAACTTTATTTAAGGAGGGTAACACGGGACAGTACTTCAACTGAATAACTAGTGGCCCTCAAACTAAAATTATAAAACAAAAATTAAGTGACAAAATACATATCGTTAACGAAAAAGAACTATAAATATATGTATGGATAAGACTAAAAAGAGTAAAAAACTATATTACAATTATAGAATAACCCTTCAGACCCTAACGCAAAAGTGACTGACAACAGATGGTGAAGTTCTGAAGACAAAAACATATCAAATTCATGACATTGTAAACAACAACTTACAAATAGATTGTACAGAGACTAGAGAAACAGAGAGAAGGCGTTCTTAAATTTATGGACAAAAATATTTTGGGTATTACCGAACTCAATTCAAGGTAAGAGAAAATCAAAGAAATATAAGCCAAGCAGCAAGGCAGAGTACAAAAACTAGAATTATTTTTGTGATTGGAGATATTTATCAATGAGACGTCTATCCAAAATATGGTGTTCCGGTTCCCACGTTGATTGATTCTTAGAATAGGTGAGCCACTTGACCAAGTACTCAACCTTTCCATTTCTCTTTCGATGTTTTAGAACTTTTTCTGCACTACACACAGTTTCATTGTCGATAAGAATTGCTTCCGGAGTTGATTCTTTTGCATTTTGAAGTTGATTCTTTGTCTTCTCTTGGTCTGATTCTTTATTTGACTCTCTCTTTTTGAGGCTGTGGAGACAATTGCGTCTCAATACTAACTGGATTTAAGTCAGTGTCTTTAGGATTCGCTTCAGCAGAAACTGGCTCCTCAAAACAATCTTTTGGAATATCAGATTCATTAATGTACGGTTCAGCAGGGTCATCAAAAGGCAGAGGGTCAATTGGTCTCAAATTAGGATCAACAAATGGCTTCATACGATTTGCGTGACACGAAAAAGCAATTTTTTTATTGGTGATCGTGCACAACTGAAAATAAACCAGTGATAATTTCTCAACAATTCCTTATGGACCCAAACAATTATGCATTAACTTTTTGGATAACCCTTTTCTAGTTCTCAGGATATAAACCCAAACACGTTGTCCAACTTTAAAAGCAGGTTCTTTTGTCTTTTGATTGTAATAATCCTTCATTTTCCGTTGTTCACGTTGTAAATTTTCTCTCGATAAATTTTGAGCTAATCCGACTTTTTCGACAACACGTTTTCGATAGTCAAGGACTGAAGTGCCTAAGTCATCAGCCATGGGAGGCAAATACGTAACGTCAATTGGCAAGCGTGGCTCTCGCCCATAAAGAAAGTAAAAAGGAGAATCCCCAATTGCATCTAAAACTGAAGTCCTATGTGCAAGCAAAATAAGCGGTATGAACTCATCACAATCTTTCTGGTTTTTGGAAACGTACATTCACAAAGACTGACACAAGGTAGAATTAAACCTTTCTACAAGACCATCGGTCTGTGGGTGATAACTGGAAGTATTGACCTTTTGAATTTGAAATATTTTACAAACTCCTGCAACGACTTTAGATAAAAAAGTTAGTTCCTCTGTCAGAGAGCAGGACACGTGGTGCCCCATGTCTAGAAATAATTTCATCAATCAAAAGTCGTGCAATAACAGCTGATTCTACACTAGGCACTGCGAATGCTTCGACCCAACGAGTTAAATAATCACTAAAAACTACCTACTGCCTTTACTAGAAGGTTGAAAAGGACCTAAAACATCAACAGCCACTCTGTCAAATGCACCCTCGACTGAAATCGGAAGTAAAGGTGCCTTTTTCGAATCTCGTGGAGACTTCCTCATTGAACACTCAACGCAAGACTTAACCCAATGTTCTACATCTTTAAACATACCTTTCCACCAGTATCTTTGCTTAAGTTTACTAAAAGTTTTGTTCAAGCAAAAATGAGCACCGGCAATACGATCATGTACATTAGAGAGAATTTCAAAACGTAATGCAGCTGGGACAACAAACTGAGAAAAAGACTCACAAGCATTACGCCTTCGATTAAAATCAATGTGGTAAAGCAAAACATCTTGACCAATATAAAAATTATGGCTTGTGAGTAAAATCTTGCGTGCATCTTTATCGTTTAGTAGGTAGGATATCGTTCTCTGGAAAATCAATCATTGCAGCTAGTTCAGGATCTCTTCTTTGCTTTTCTTGAGTGTGGGGCGTTTGAGGTTCTTCTTTCTTGAGCGAACTTATTTCACAAGAATCATAAGAACGTCTTGACAAACAGTCAGCATTACCATGGATTCTAACAGGGCGATGAACAATATTAAAGTCATATTGTTTCAAAAGTAAGGCCCATCTTGTAAGACGACCAGAAGCATCTTTAACATTCATTAACCAACGAAGAGAGCTATGATCAGTAACAACAGTAAACTTATGATTATGTAAATAAGGCTGAGATGTCTTAATACTCTCAACTAATGCGAGAACTTTTCTTTCTGTGGTACTATAATTTTGCTCTGCCTGATTCAAATCACGACCATTGTAAGCAATGACTATTTCTTTTCCAATTTGAATTTGTGCCAAGGTAAAATCAATACCTAAGCCTCGGCACAAGCTACAGTCCAAGCAAAAGGAACGTTCTTCTTTATCAAAGCATTCAAAGGGTTGGCAATATTTGAAAAACCTCTTACAAAACGTCTGTAATAATTGGCAAGACCTAAGAAACTCCTCAATTTCTTCAAATTTGTGGGGGTGGGGAATTCCTGAACCACCCTTGCTTTGTCTGGGTTGGGACTAATGCCTTCTGGCGTAACTACGTGACCAATATACTCTACTCTTTGTTTAACGAAACTGCATTTATCTGGATTGAACTTAACATTGGCGTCACGCAGTCTTCTAAAAACTTCCTCCAAATGGACTAAATGCTCATCTACAGACTTAGAGAAAATGATTATATCATCGATGTAAATCAATGCAAAACGGTATTCTAAGCCTCGCAAAATATGACCCATAAGTCTTTGAAAACTGGCTCCAGAATTCACTAATCCAAACAGCATTGTCAGAAATTCATAGAGGCGTAGCAAAGGCTGTCTTTTGTTGCGAGTCCTCCTGCATTTGTATCTGCCAAAAACCACTTTTGTGAACCAACGTTAAAAACACGCTTGCACCACTAAAGAATCTAGCGCATTAGCAACTAAAGGCATTGGAAAGCTATCTACTTTAGTGACTTTATTAAGTTTACGAAAATCAACACAAAATCTATATGACCCATCCTTCTTTTTTTACCAAAACAACTGGAGAGCTCCAAGGAGAGACAGACTCGCGCAAAATATGACCCATAAGTCTTTGAAAACTGGCTCCAGAATTCACTAATCCCAACGGCATTGTCAGAAATTCATAAAGGCGTAGCAAAGGCTGTCTTTTGTTGCGAGTCCTCCTGCATTTGTATCTGCCAAAAACCACTTTTGAGAACCAACGTTAAAAACACGCTTGCACCACTAAAGAATCTAGCGCATTAGCAACTAAAGGCATTGGAAAGCTATCTACTTTAGTGACTTTATTAAGTTTACGAAAATCAACACAAAATCTATATGACCCATCCTTCTTTTTTTACCATAACAACTAGAGAGCTCCAAGGAGAGACAGACTCTTGAATTATTCCTTTTTCAAGCATTTCGTCCACCTGACGGTCGATCTCTTTCTTAGCATCAGGAGATACTCTATACGGCCTTTGCTTCATAGGTGTAGCATCGCCAGTATCAATGACATGCTATAAAGGGGATGTTCTACCCAACTGATCCCCAGGAAAAACTAAAACACTACGATATTCATCAAACAAATTCTTAAATTTTACGTTCTCATCATCATTCAGAATAGTATTCCACAAATCAGGAAACTCTGAATAATCTTTTGGCTGTTGCAGATCATGTAAAGAATTATGTTGAGCATCCGGAGAAGGGGAATTTTTGCCTATCTCAAAAGTTGCTAAATCATTACCAACACGCTCAAAATTTCCCAATTTAGTGGTACGGAAAATTTTAACTTTTTGCGCGGAAGGGTTTACCATACTAACAGGAATAGTTGCATCACTAGAAAACTTTACGAGCTCTGACGCTCCAAAAACTGAGTAACGGTGAGGCAAATCAAACTTAGGCGTGACCAATCCATAAATTCCCTGACACTGGCGTTTGCACCTTTCGGCATTGAACTTAATCTACCAATGACAACGACTTCTGATTGAGCGGGAATAGTAAAAGAATTATCAGCATGCTCTGACAAAATACAATGATAAAAAAAACTTCAGCATCCAAATCATCACCAAAACTATCAGCAAAGGGGAGGGGATCCTCGGGGTGGGAAAATTGAATAATGTTCTCCATAAAATCAATTCTGCCCAAAACAACGTCATGAGTTAAATCTTTGGTAACATAGGCTTCAAAAGGAAAAACATCAGACTTAATAACAAAATTTAGCCATACTTTACCAAGAACACTAAGAGGAGAACCACTTACAGTCGTTGCACAACTGGTCGACGAGGAATCTAAACAACAATTTTTGTGACTAAGATACTTGTCCAAAACTTGAGAACTAATTGCTGCTACAGGTGCTCCTATGTCCAGGAGTGCACGATAACTATTTCCCTTTATTGTTACACATACATTAAAATTGTCACTCTCGAAAGGATGAATAGAATCAATTTTACTGGATGTGGCAGACAAAGAAACCCTGTCAGTCACGTAAGTCACATATGCCCTTGTCTCTGGGCTACTTGTGACAGATAAGCCACGACGCTCACTACAAACATTGTTTTTAGCTCCTACGATATTTACTTCCAAATTTTCTTCATTTTTAGACTCAGGCGCCAACTGTTCTTCTTTTTTATTTTCTTTTATACTGACTTCTCGAGATAAATTTTCACTTGAAGACTTCTCATAAATGACTTCACTTTTAGGAGAAAACATAGGTACATTTGGCGAATAAGCATTTTCGTTTTCATTCGGCGATGACCCGGCGAATACACGATCAAATCTTGTTATGACCTGAGAAAGCCACTTAATAACTCCAAACAAAATATTTTCATTAGGGACGTTTTGAGGCAGGCCTTCTTGAGACCACCCGTGTTGACATGTGACGGTAACTTGAGGTTTAAACATTTTAAAGTCTGACGAGATAACAGGCTCACAGGGATTAGACAAAACACGACTAAACTCTTGAACATTTTTTTTAGTACCATTCTCGGCTGAATTTCCAGAGTTATCGAAAGCAAATTTATGAGAACTAGATCCGACGGAAGAATGTTTATTACTTGTAGAATTTTCAAGTGCCCCCATCACGGGTTCACTACCATACACGATAGGGGCGCCAGCCAAATTAACTGAGCGCCAATTTTCCCTGGTTACAAACATTTTGCATATTGTTTCTCCGATACAGGCCTCTAAAGTTGGGTTTCGAACTTCCATAACTGCCCAATTTAGGATTCTTACTGAAAACGATTAAGTTTTGCCGATCGAAACTTGCGATTAATACGACGATTTCCATTATTTTGGAGATCTGTCCTCCAAACATTAAATTCGTCTCCGACAGATTGTTTGATTTCCTCTTCTGAGGGGTTAGACTGTAATTCTTCAAACTTCTCGACTTCTTGACCATTATTCGATTTACGGCTAAGAGTTACTAACTCTTTTAGTCTTGCAATGTTCAATGCAGTCTCGAAACCAGGCGGTTGTTGTAAATATCATGTTCATGTATTTCAGGCCTTAAACCACGTACAAAACAATAAAGCCATTCACTTTAAGGTAAATTTAGACGAGAGCAGGATGAAAGAATATCGTAATAGTAATCGGCAACAGTCGCCCCTAAGAAGTGACAACGTTCTTCTATTTTTTGCCTCAACTGCCATAGAGTTACATTTGATTCAAAATTAATTTTTGTGACAAAACTTGAAACGATTCATTGTTATCGGCCTCTGTTAAAGTTTTAAACCACACGCTGGCTTGTTCTTTTAGAAACAGAGGAAGACCAAGCGCTAATTTTTCTCCGTCCCAACCATTTAACAAACCGGCGCGTCTATAATTGCCAATAAACTCACGAACATCTTCTCTCTCGTCGCCATAAAATACTGGAAACTCAACAACGGGCCTATTCATTACTTAAAAACGAAACTCTGGCATTATTATTTTGTTTTAAATATGACTCTTATTCTACATATGACTAAACTTAGAAAAGAGTTCTCAGTTGCTTGCAATGGCAAAGTTCCTAGCACTTACAGATTTCCAGGGGTTGATCTATAAGAAAGTTCTTCACCAGACTAGACTCCAAATTCTTCACCAAAATAACGGGTTCTCCACCAAAATATGTGGGGGTGTGTTCGAGCAACTCGCTCGCTCGACGATGAGGTACCAGTAATCTGATTTACATCTTGGCCTTTATTCTTCTTTGACTTCTGCTAACAATCTTAATCTTCCTACTCTTCTAACTCTTTTCTACTTCTCCTACTAGTTCAAGTATAGTAGCGGTTTTAATAGCCAAAGCTGGACATGTTTGTGTTAGGTGACCGGTAGAGTTTCTATTGTATATCTTATCGCTAACACTGCAACAGGTTTGCTAATGTTAGGGAATAGACTAGCCTACGCACAGGCGCAACTGATAAGTACCAAAGAACGAAGGTCAGCTCTAACAACACAAACACGACCACCTATAAAATCTGACAATGCCAAGCGAATAACATTCCTAATATGGCAACAAGTAAATTCGCGACTAAGCATAAGTTCAAGTAGAAGTAAAAACAAAAGATCAAAACCGGAAAACAGTACGTGGACAAAAACAAGACGTCATGAAACAAAAACTAAATTTAAAAGATAAGATAGATCTGTCTTAAAAAAATAACTTTCAAAATACTCCACAACAGTATTATAGGTGTCTCCGCAATACGAACCTTAACTGTGGTAATCTTTTTCCCACCCTTCCCTAAATGTCAATTTAACTCTATACACAGGAAGACCAAGCCCAAATTGAAGAAGAGCTGACATTTGAGGAACTGGTGGTTTTGAGAACTATTGCACAATCAAAGGCAAAGAGTGAAATCAGTCAGGTAGGATTATGGTGTAAAAAGATCGTTAATTCTTATTTAGGTTTGGATTTAGATTTAGAGCACTTTAATCACATTGGAAAAGTAAATGAGGCCAACAAAGCAGAGCCTGGCTTTAATTTAAATGTTCAGTTGCCTTGAAATAGGCATTAGGAGTGTCACCACTAGAGATTGTTTACGTTTTCTTTTTTCTGAACTTTTTCAAAACAATTGATTTTCCTTCTTCATATGTCTGTTAAACGTAACGAAGAGAAATTAGCCGCTTGCCGAGAAAACGTAACTCTTTACCATTCATCCTAACTTAACCACTGAGATAGTAAACCTACAACTTGAATTTAATTTAAGCATGCTAAATTGGATGGTCAATTCTTCACAATTTGAACTTTTAGGGCAATTTTTTAAACTGTTCGTTATTTGCTTTATCAGCCAATGGATGAAAAGTTCAAAACATGGACTCTTAGTTTTCCCGCCAAACGAAACCCTGTGGAGAAGGCATTGCTCGATTGGCCAAACGTGTTGCAGTACGTGTATGATATCAAAGCGAAGTATCGATTGATTTCAAGAAAGTTCTCGGGCATGAAGTTTTCTCAACGGAGCCTTCGCTTAACCAACCAAAACCCACGGGCGTTTGTATCCGTTGGATAAACCAATCAAATCGCTGTATTTTCGTCTGTTTGTTGTTTCTGTTTTGTTCTCACGTTTTCAATTTAAGGTTACACAAGAAATGGCTCTAATCAATGACTCTTTCTTCAGCGCTCCCAGCCTGAAAGTGAAGATCAGTCCCCAGAGTCAGTAAAAGAGGAACTGGAGAAAGCTGGCAGTGGTGGTGCTGGTGGGGGTGGGGGGGGGGGGGGCTGGCAGAGCTGGGTAACTGGTTGGTACAGTTGGTATGGAGCAGACACTCCAGATGGATCTGCTGAGAAAACAAAAGGCAAGGACTCAGCAGCTCCAGCGTTCATGGCAGAACCACCCACTACGAAAGGTCAGTCACTAGGGAGTTTAAGCAAGTACGTTTGAGCGGCGCAGATCAACCAGAAGTTAGACGTTTTCCCTATAGGTTTGCCATGACGTGTCAGTCCAAATTTGTATTGTTAAGTGTCTTTGGTCTAATAGATACGCCTTGCCTTGAAAATTGGGCAAAACCATTGCTTAAGAATGAAAAAACTTCATTTGCAGTTGACGTGCCTCGTTCGAAAACGTCTTTGCTTAAGTTCACTATTCTGAGACGAAACCTTTTGAGTTTTGAGACAGCATAACTATATGAAAAAAAAAACCACCAGTGTTAAGACAGGAAAATAATCAATTTTGGGTTCTTTACCATCGGGAATATCGTTGCTTTGCAGAGGGTCGTTACGTTCTTTATTTATTAAGAGCCTCTGATCTTTGTTTAACTTTGACGCTCTTGCTTAAGAATGAAAAATCTATCATTATGTCGGATTTTCTTTATCGCCTTGCAGAGGACGTCAAGTGAGCAATTTTGGGCTCTTTACCATCGGGAGTATCGTTCCTTTCCAGAGGGCCGTTACATTCTGCATTTATTAGGGCCACTGATCTTCGTTTAAGTTTGACTCTCTCGCATGGCAATGAAAAATCTCTCATTATGTCGGACTTTCTTTATCGCCTTCTTGCAGAGGAAGAGGAGTTCCTTGACGAGCTCGCGGACAATCAGCATCTCAACGAGTCAATCTTTAACCGAGACCAGGTCTTCGCCCACCTGAACTTCAAACTTGATGCTGGCTCTTTAAAACTGATCAACACAAAGCAATCAAATAGCTCCTCACAGACGATAGCGTTGCCTGTAGTTGAAGCTGAGTTTTCTGATTTGAGGTGGGATTCCGAGATGCGGCCTCGCTCAAGCACCTGGGAATTTAACATGAGTTTGGGAGCTTTGTTTGTTCACGATAAACTGACACCAGGAACTTTGTTTCCATCTTTAGTTTGTCCCCAGGGTCGGGAGAGTAAGGTTAGTAAATTTTCCTTTTAAGTCAATTCGCCACTTTAGAAACGAGAAGCGAACTGGGCCGAGCTATCTTTCGCAAAGACTTCTGCGATAGGGCAAACAAATTTGCCAATAGCTGCATTGCGCGTTCCAATTAACAATCCCACAAGTCTTTGCGATAGCTAACTGAGCCCAGCTTTCCTCTCGTTTTTAAAGTGGCGATAAGGGCATGTAATTTAATGGGCCATTTATGTGATGAAAGTTATTGGAATTCAAGAAGATTTCTTTTTTAAAATTTTACCTTGCAGAAAGCTTCGCTTGCTAAGAAGCAACAGGGAACACTGTCAAAAACCACAACTGGAGCCGTGGTTATGTCTGCAGCCAGCGTGGGCGTTAATCTTTTACAAGACATGAGTGAACCAGTGTTTGAAATAAAGTTTGAGTCTCTGTCACCAACAAGCAAAGTTGCGTACAGGTTAGTTGATAAGGAAACGTTATACGGTCAACTCTCGCAATGCGGATACCCCGCTATAACGGACACCTCGATAATACGGGCAACAGTTGAATCCCGGGCAGAAATAAACTACAGAAGTTTGACTGAGGTAAACTACGGACTGAGGTAATTTACTGACTCTCGCTAATCAGGAAACTAACTCGAGGTCCCTGGAGTGTCCGCTATATAAACAGTTGACTGTACATGAGAAATTTGAGGTGACTTTTCCTGAAAGTAGAAACATCGTTACGTGTTAAGCTTTTTAAGTCACTTAAAAGCAAGAACAAAAGTTCGGCTTTAAATCCCGTCTAAAACCTCATCACGATAGACTAATTTCTTATTGTTTAAATTCGCACATAGCTACGAGGCTGATGAGAATAGAACAAATTAAACAAATTCCATTGAAATTCAGGGAATATACTTCATTTCTTTTGTTTTATTTATTTCCCTCAGCGTTGGAGGGAAGTATAAATGTTAATAATTTGACTCAACTGTAAACATGGTTGTGTTGTTTGTTTGTTTGTCGTTTTTTTCGTCTTTTAAAAACAAACAAACAAGTAAACAAACCAATAAACATTCGTGCCCAGCATACAACAAAACAGAGATTTCCAGGAAGGAGTGAAAGGAAGTGAAACCCACAACTTCCCGCCCTTTGCGAATGGCGATAGAACGCCGTACGTACCGTCCGTTCTGTAGACTTGTGGCAACATTCTTGCTTTTGCTTGTTATGTAACTTTAACCTTACCTTCCACCTCTATTTTGGATGTCGCTCATCCACGACATCCAGGTTGTCAGTGACCACTCAGCCACTGGATGTCGTCTACAACCCTCTAGTGTTTGATCACATCTCCGAGTTTTTCTCCCACACATCATTGGAAGGAACTCAAGCTCTTCATATTGAACGGCAGCTCCGTGAAGTGGCACGTGTTAGATACGAGGAACTAAAGAACCAGACTAGAGCTGAACTTGTCCAAACACTTGATGCTATGATGGCAGGATCAGAAGTGGTGAGTTGTGAGTCTGTTTAGGACTTGCTTGGGATTATCGTTTTAAATGCACAGAGCCTCCTCCTTAGAAGTCAACAGACAAAATTTCGGCCGAAACGTGAGGCTAATTGCCGTACGAAGGTATCTAGCGCAAACACTGGTTAAGTTCCTTATCATAAAATTACAGTTCAGCTCCTTTTAAAGAGAGAGGCGTTATATAAATAACCTATTACAGTTTGCTTATTTTTGGTGATCGTTATTGTGCATGTGTAACTGCACCGTACAAACAACTTAAGACAAAACTCACAACGATAGAATGGCCAGACAACCGACAATTTGACTAACACTAACTGGCTCTTAAACTGTAACATAAGACGGATATAAACGCACGTCCAGTCTTCATAGCCAATAACATTACCGCTTAACTGACAGACGAACAATAATGTCGTGACTTAATTGACCAATCAGGACAATAACAAGAGTTTAATACCGTCAATTAACGTGATACAACCCACTTTGACTCTGACTGTGACTATCGCGCAGGTTTTCTAAACGTCAGTCGGTCATTGTTAACAGCAGTCTCAATATTAAACTACACTCACCCGGAAGATCATATCCTATTTTGGGTATGACGTATGTTTTACATTAACTGGGCGACTTCTCGTGCTCTGATTGGTCAAGAGCTTTGATGTATGAGAAAGTAAAAACCATAGAAAATTGTTGTGTATTTGTTAACTAGAAAGGATCGTATAGTATGAAATATAGTTGGATCTAAGGATGAATTTCCCTGCTGTTCATAGGGTCAATCAAAGAGATGGGACATTCAGTTGGATATTTCTGCCCCAAGATTTCTACTTCCAGAACGTTTTCAAGACAGGAAGTCGTCAGTGGTATGTCAGCATCTCTTCCCAATGTAATCGTTTGACGAGTTCGATATTGATACTGAATGTACACTAAGAGGTCGGTGGATGACTCGAAGTTAATGCTATTGTCTTCATACAAACACAGGTGGTCTTGGTACATTCCATTTGAAACATATTTACTATGGTGTATAAACAGGTCCTAACATAATTTTCCGGAGACTGTAGGTTAATTCCTGTGGTATTAATATTCAAATGAAACCTCTTCACAGTACTTTCACAAGAGGCTCTTTCCTTTTTACCCTGATACAGATTGGAAATTTGGATTTGTGCACTTCTGAAACACTAATAAAAAACAAAACAAAACAAACAAACAAACAAACAAAGAGCAAATAACAAAACAACAAAACAAAACAAAAATCGAAACAAACGGTTCTTCTACATGCTGTCTGATATCCTGGTAGTTCTTGTATTGTAAGCTTGTCGTTTCAACCTTTGCTGGCGTAAAATTTGAGACCATATATTGACCATTTCTCAAGTCAACCCCCTTCTCCGAGCACTCTCTAACTGACCATTTGTCTGTGTCTGTTTATTGTTAATATTTTTTGATAGGTTGTTATTGACTTTGGTCACTTGAGCTTTGCAAATACTCAAGCACTTAATCGAAAGAAGACAGTGTCTGGAGGACAAGACTCGAGAGCAGACATGGAAGGTAACAAATTTTTTGCGTCTGTTTGGCAAGGGGTGGTTATTAATTACATAGGTTTCTGGGAGACTGCCCACCTACCCATCCCCTAAGCCAACATTAACCCTTACTTCTCACTTAGGGAAAAATATGGGCTTAGGGGAGAGGTAGATGGGCAGTTTCTCAGAAACACATAATGATCCCGGAGAAAAGAATCAATTCTGCTGCTAACGTTTTGCGTTTCTATTTGAGAAGCGTCAATTTTAAAGGATGGAAATTGTCATTTACTCGCCTCGGGCTATAACCTTTGTGACCGTTTTTGACTTAAAATTGGATTGAAAGTTGTCTAATCAAATGCGGAATTACAGTGACTTCCTAGGTTGGATTTAGTCCCACTTGATGAGTTGTTGTTCAATACGATTGCAAGAAAATCATTGTAGATAGTACGAGAGATGCTAAAAGCGATCATTGTTAATGAGGCAGGGGGTCATACTAGAATGTTTTTTTGGGGGGGATATGGAAGGCCTCCGCTATGTCGAATTTCAACTTAAATCGCTACATGTTTTTCTGAAGGCGGTACATGTGATTGCAGTTCCGTGTTACATTGATTGACTTCATATGCACTTTGCAGATGACTTTTTTGTAACCCCACCCAGCACTCCGCCCGAAGAAGATGAAGAGTTCATGTCGATCACAGAGTCAACCGAGGCTTTAGTGAAGGAAATGAGCAGAGAGACACTGATTGATATAATGTATGAGAGGTAGGCTGATGATGATTAACTCGCTTTTAAGGAAGGACGAAGATAAAACATGAGACTGTTATAATAGATAAGATTCCACATTCCATGTATGTTCAGATTAAAATGAGAAGAGAGGTTCGTTTTTTGCACTTAGCTGTTGCTGTTAGCCCTTTTTTTGTTTTCTTTCGTTACAATCAATTTCTTTGTGAATGTGTGGCAAAACTAATGCAAGAACAATTAATGCAAGAATAGTTTATTTGAACCTACTTTCTGTACAATAACAGAAAAGCCCTAATGCTTGACTGATTTGATTTGTAGTTATTTCGTTTCGGCGTCTTCCTATTTTTCAGGAACTTAGTACGTTTCTTGAGTCCCTCACTTGCCCAGATTTTTTCGTCTGATGTCTTAAAAAAAACATTGAAAAACAAATTCAGCGATATCAACTGTCGGTCAGTTCTCTGTCAGATCATGGATAATCGCCAATGAAACCACTTGTTGGCTTAAACATGTTCAGTTATCAAGAGCGAATATCAACAATGTGCGTTTTGACTTCTTCACAGGTATACTTTAGATCTTTCTGACATCCAAATGGTTGTCTGTAACGTAAAAGATAACTGGTCAGAAGTAGCGAGCAAGCCGTTCGTGACAAGTGATGTTCATGTAGTGGATAAATTTACAATAACTATCCAATTAGAAAGGTACGAAAATCGCAGACACCCCGATTGAACTGAAATGACGGTCTTGTTTATGCTTGACGTTTATGATACATAATTTGCAAAGTGGCTTCATGTTAGAACACAAGCGTTCAGAATCTTAGACTACTTTCACGGTCTTCCTATGCCAATTTATGGTATTTTCTTTCCCTACCAGCAGTAGTTTAATAAAGTCACTCAATAAAAAGTAGGATGCAGCACTAATGATATGCGGAATAATTGTAATGAAAATTGAAAGGTCAATTAAAGAAAGAGGTTATATCCTTATAAAAAATTCACGTTTTCGACTGTATGGGTGATATTGTATAGCAAGATGAATTACAGTTTTGCTAAGCATGATGTCAGGCTACCCTTCATTTTGTAAAATTTTACAACGCATGAACTGCGGAAAACGTTTTGCTGGTAAAGAGAGCAATTCGAGCGAAATGTGGCTATCCGAAACGCATTTCGAGCAGAATAAGCGGTATTTGCGACATTGACTGCAGACAGGATAAGCCATTTTACCATGGGAATTATACAAGCCTTCAATTATGTGAAAGTGGACTAAATCATACACCTTTGTGTCATGTTTCACAGGAGACTACTGTTCACAGCTGATCCCCAGTATCCTGCAGTAACTCTGTTTGCAAAGCTTCCCAATCTGATACTTCACATCAATGAACACAAGGTATGATGTTCTTTCGGACTGTTGTCTACTTATTTGTACAAATTCGTGCGCTGCTTAATTAGACGTCTTCATTGCCACCCCCATTACCATGAATTTGTCTCCCTCCACTATCGTCAAAGTCACCAGTGACCTTACCGTTTATTCTAGTTGTCTTCGTCATCGTCATCATCATCATTATCGTCACCATCACTATCATTATTAGTGTCACATTCAACATCACCGAGACGTGACAATCGTCATCATTTTCATCACAATCATCAACAGCATTACCATCAACACCATTATCACCATGACCATCGTCGCGACCTTCACCATAAACAAAACCATCAACATCATCAAAGCCGTCACCTTTGCTACTGCCATCACCATTAACATTGCCCTCGCCACAGCTCGTGCCGTTAGCCATTATCAATTTTTCATTGAAATTTAGGCACTTACTACCCTGGGTACCAGAGGTTTTTCCTTGCGTGCGATGAGGAGCTTCGACACATCCACTGCCGAAGACACAAGCGGCGAAGTCGCGAGAAAAAACCTCTGGCACAGAGCGCCTTGATTTACCTTACTAGATGGACCTGGACCTTGTCTCTAATCTGTCAATCAAACGGGCGGACGCGCGCAGAGCCCAGTGCTTTTCGCGCGGATCATTTTTAGGACTTAACCGAAACCGGAAACCGCGCATGAAAAACCTCAGGCACCCAGGGTAGATGCATACGTGCTATTGGTCAGTTCCAATGGGCCTTTTTGATTTAGTTCAGGATGAATGGGTTTGTAGCGAACATTATTAATGTTACCATTGTTCCTTTGTTAGCTTCAAGCTTTGACAAAGTGCGTCAAACAGCTGAGTAGACCTAAACCCTCCACTCCAGCACCATCAGTGGCAAGAGAAAGGGCTGTTGCTAGCTCAACCCCTCTACCCCGTGTGGAAAGTAAGAATCTTTTTTTAGTCTATTAAAACGTAGTTTTGAGTGGAGGGTACTGATTATGAAAGTCGGCAAATATCAAAGATAAAAAGAAAAGTTCTGCAATTCATGTTTGGAGCTCCCTGACGGTGCACAATCCATTGACGGAGTAAATTAATGCGACGTTTTTATTGGTCAGGAAGATTAATATGAAAGGAATTCTATTGAACGTTGTGCACCGTCAAGTCCACAAACACATATGACAAGGGCGTGTTGCTTTGATTATTGTCGAGTGTGCTCGCGAGATGCGAAGTCCTGTGACTACCCAGTAATTTGTACAGCGGGAGTAGAACCAAAGGCATTCAGATTCGTTGTTTGGCACAGAAGCGTTCCTTGATGAAACGCTTCTGTCCCACACAAACTTCCGGTTGCTATTCATTACGTCCGGGACGTAATGAACGTAATGGACGCTCCCTGATAACAATCGTGGTTCGTTTGATGTAATTTTTGTAAGAAATTCCTTTTATTTGTTGGGTAATGTTTCAAGGAGTGGACAGCAGCATTGATGACTTGTACTACAGCTTATACAGTAGCAGTGTTACCATTCCTGACATGCTCAAGGAATCACCCACCTGGTAATTAGTTGTCATTGTGAAGTATTTCTTTCCTTTGTTTATAAGTCATTTTGAGGTGGCGCGTTAAGACTGGGTCGGTGTTGGACCGAATTGCACTATGGGACTGTTGGGGACGTTATCGCTTCTTTTATTCGCTACTTTAAAAACGAGAAGGAAACTGGAGCCGAAATTCGTCCTGCAATTGTTTCTGGCATCATTACTGGAGTCGCGCCGGCCGGCTATTGGCCAATTGTTTCTATGTCCCAGAAGTCTTTACAAAAGTTAACTCGGACCAGTTTCCTTCTCGTTAACTTTCGCAAAGACTTCTGGAACATGGAAAAATTGGCCAACAGCTGACGAATTCAGGTAGCGTAAACTGCCTTTGAAAAAAAAGAGAAAAGTATTTGTTGCTGGCAAAAATTGTTGAGAAAGTGAAAAAGTGCTGAAATAGCTAGAGGTAGAAAATAGAGAGGAAAATATTTGTGGCGTTCAAGAAATACTGAGAATGTGTAAAATGCAAGGCCATTGAAATCCTTCTGAGACAAAGGAACAACCCCCCTTATGTTCCTTTGAAGCCAGAAAAAAATATCCTTTATGTTCGTGATTGCTTGCAACTGCGCTTGTAATCTTAGAGTTAGAAAGAAGAAGATTGAAGCGTCTGCCGCTGTCTATGTAATTTTAAAAAATAAGGGAAAAAAAGGTTTTGCCGAATGTTATGTGCAAATCGTCTATCTAATTGTCACTCTGTAAAATATAAGGTGATGGAAGTTTTTTTTCTTCCTTTTAGGAGTATCAGTAAGTCTGCTGTGGACATTACATTAGAGGACAAAACAAAAGAACTCGTGGAAGAGTCTAGAATGCTGTTTGTGCAGTTCACTATCGACAGAGTGTCTTTTGGTGTTCAAAGCATGGGTGAGGTGTTACTGTTGTACCACAAGCACCGTCGTTGAGAAGCTGAATTGCGCCCCTTTCATACCAAATATACAAATTTAATTAAACAAGGGGTCAATTTAATAAAATTTTACAAGTGTAGCTATTGTTCTCAGACCCTAAAACAGTGGCTACACTTGTAAACGACACCTGTAAAAGTTTTATTAAACTGACCCCAGGTTATAATAATAATAATAATAATAATAATAATAATAATATTTGTTTATTTCCACCATTCGCAGATTTCTCTGAATTACAGGTAGGGTAAGGTTGAAAAAAGAAAAACAAAAACACACACACAAAAAAACAAAAAACTGGAACACAGGCTTTGACTCAGATTCAAGTGAACTTCAACGTTTTGTAATTCGCACTTAAGAGCAAATGTTACCATCGGTCAAAGATTTCGTGGCAACAGCTCAAAATTCAATTTGGCCCATATTCTCAGTTTAGGTAGACCTTAATGTAAAAGAAATCGATGCATAGTTCGTTTGGCTAAATATCGATTTGTTTTCGGGAAAATCAGTAATAACCGAATCCTGAGAATTTGCCACGTTTTTAGCGTACAATTTAGGTCGAAAAAGAATACTTCGCGTAGCGAAATAACACTCTTGTAGAATGATACCAAAATATGTGTCAAAAGCAAATTGAGCAATTCTCTTCTTTTCACTTTGAAAAGAATATAATTACATTTCGCGAACTCTCTTTTATCAAGATTAAAAAATGCCAAAAAATAACCTGTAATCTAAGTATGTGGTACTAAATGAAATACGTCGAAAAATCTGGATTTCGAAAGCCGAATAATCGCTCTTTTACATATCCAAAGAATTTTTGGGGGAAATGATTTAGCGCGAAGAAATTCAATTTTAAAGTTGGATACAATGCCCTGTTTTAACCGACCTTCCAATTTATGTAGTAAACACACAGACATACAAGTTTTCCAAACACAGCATTCAATCAAAAGCGGGATTGACGTAAAAATTTAACCAACATGTTTTAAAATCAAAGACATACATTGTATTTCTGCTGTCCCTTCGTTTGATACAAATCTTAATCAAACTACAAGATAATTTGCCAAGATAACGCGGCTGTCATGTTTGTTTACACGCAGCGTGAAGACCAGACGTGAGATGTTTTGTTGGGAAGTTTTCCCGACCAATTATCTCTGAATTCAAGATCAGAGATCAGATTTAAAAAGTTATTTTCGTTTGCCTTTTCTCCAAAATCAGTTTCGAACTAATAAGCAAACCAAAGGCAAACAATTTAACAGCCACACCTGACCACAGTGCCTTCAATAATTTCAATATACGGCTGCTTGCGCTTGCCAGTCATCGATGCTACATCCAGTTCTAAGGCTGCACAGATGTTCTGCAGTGTTCGTATCGAAAACTTCGCCAGCCTAGACTGACCTACTATCTCACAGATGTTGTATGTTTCGTACATGATGGGATGCTGAAGAGCTAATGCTTTCAATACTTCGTTGGACATTTCCTCGATTGCCTTCTCTGTTATCAGCTCATTCCTTTCTAGTTCTTCCTCCTCACTGGATTGTTCCACACTATAAGTTTTCTTTGCCGACAAGCGAGAAAAAAATCGTGCTATTTGTAGTGGTGTGGGATAGTCGCACTTGTCGAAGATATTAGAGCCATCACTATGCTTTACTCTTCGCATTGCCTTTGAGACGCTCGTTGGATCTGCTTTTTGCCCAGTGCCTTCTCCAACTTGAAAGACTTCAGTCAGATAGCTTTTCTGCGCCACCGTGAGATTCTCTCTTTGTACTCCTGCTGACTTAAGAGCCCATCCCATCGGTAGCACGGAGCCATCATCCTCCACTGACATAGATGCTTCTTCATCAACTATTTCTGGTAGCACCACGCTCCAGTTTGGTGGCGTACATTCCAGGGCATACTTGTGTTTACCACAGTCCAGATGTTTTTCCAGCGATGAGTATTGTAGAAAGGACTTGGCAGATCCTTCTTCTGGACAGAAAAACAGATCGCTTCCTTCGTCGTTACAGCTTTCATCGTCGCCGCTGTTATTTCTGTTCTGTGGGGCCTCTTCTAAAAACGGTGTTTGCTTTGGTTTACTCCTGGCTTTCGCAGTTTGGAAAGATACCTCAGCACTAGAACTCTGTTTCTGTTTGTTTAGCTGAGGAAGACTCCCAACTTGTTGGCGGAAGTTGCTCCAGGGTACAAATTTGCCAGAGCCAATCCATAAGCTCTCCAAACATGCAAACCTTCCTGGGTGTATGCAATGTTGTTAATGAAACTAACGCCCTCACATTTTACTGGAGTGGACTTTGCAGCAGGTTGTGACCCGCTCATCACCACCCGGACAGCAGAAATTCCGCCAGATGACTCAATGGCCGTCATCATTTGAGAGGTTGTCTCTATGTCGTGGCCAGAATTGAGATGGGTGCGCATGTGACTTTTAATTGTCGCGGCCTTACGGTCACAAGATCCTTTTCCGCCTTGGGGATCGGAAAAGTCAAACGCTTTAGTTCAATTGCATGTTCGCTAGTGACATGGTAGACTGAAAGTAATGTAAACGCGCAATGATAGCATCCTGCGTTATCGCTCCGCATATAAACAGAGTTGACTTCTGGCATGATTTCCTTAAGTTGACGAAAGACGTCATCAATAATAGCGAGTACAGTGAAGCTATCCTGGTTACAGCTTTCGAAGGCATGAACGAAAGTAAACAATTCAGTTTCATCATTTGCATTCTTCCTCAATGCTACACTGATATGCCAGGGTATTCCACGTTTTCCGAACCAGTCGCTTTGACTTTCCCGAAATTTTCTCGGCAGAAACTTCATGGCCCAGTCTATCACCACTAACACTGCCTGTGCATCAAGATTTTCCAGAATCTCATGTCTTGCGGCATCCTGATTTATAGCGCAAAGGAGATGGGCCTTCCAAGCTTCAATACTCTGAATTAACTGTGAGATTTCATACTCCATCTCGTCTCGTTCTTCAGCGCTACAGTTAACACTGCCAATAACTGACTTGATTTCACGCAATAATGTTGGGAGAAGTTCGCATCTGTCGCATTTTGAATTGTGTTCATGATTACAGACTGTGATGTAATCGTTATCTTGAGGATAGCTGAGGGCAATGATCCGCGACCTTCGATTCTTTAGATACGTGAACCTTAGAAACACAAAAAGCTATTTAGCATATATCAATAAGTGAACATGAAAGCGCAATATACCAATCTGGCATTAAGAAAAACGTATACACAGATAACTTTGGCTCTACATCAAATGCTCATAGATTCTACAAAATCCTTTTCTGCTTCATTTCTAACATGATTTGCCGGGACACGACACTATATAAAAAGTAATTCTACGCATTATCTATCACAGTTTTTTCGGCCACAAATTCAAGCACCCATAGTGCCAAGAAAGCAGTGTTTCATCATCAGGAATATATCGAATATGTCTATCTTTGCACAAATTTAATTTACTAGTCTGTTAAATCCTTTATGGTTTATTATCCCTTTAATGTGCACTAACCGTAGAAGCAAAAACAAGAAAACTAAAATATCTTAGACAGAAGCAATCTTACCTTATAGTCACCTTTTAGGTAGCGTTTGGCTAGATGAAGTTTCTCTTTCTGCACCTTAGCCCACGTGAAACCCTTTCCATAATTATCTCCAAGCTTGTCTATCACTTCTTCTAGTTCGTCAAAAGCTTGGGCGCCGTAAGCTGAAACATAGTCCAAACCTTGCAGAGATTTTCTCTTAGATGCGGAACATACACTGAGAACTTTCAATAGCGTGCTGCGACTCATTGGTACGAAGCCCACATCACTACAGTAGCTTAGATACTGAAGGACAATGTGCTCAGGGATCAAACTTCTAACAACATTGGGAACCTTTATTTCCATATTTGTAGACAGTTTCAGAGTTTTCTGGCCTAAAGGCAAGTATTGAATTATGTGGGTACTGGTGATGAACGACAAAAAATGATCAAGTTTCTCTGGCGCAATGTACATTCTTGTGCCTTTAACAGATTGCACGTTCCCACCTCTACCGTGGAGTAATAAATGATGTCTAGCTACGTTAAAACGACACCTGAACAAATTAGGTATCCATCTTTGCTAATCTTTGAAATTCACCTTATCCGCCATGATGGACAAAATCTGCCTTCGAGAGCTCCAATAGTCTGCGTTGTTATAACGTTCGGCCAAACATTCCATCAGAGAGGAGTCAATAGCACTTTCCTTTTTGTCCGCTCGGAAGCTTCTGCCCATGGTGTTTCCAGGAAATGGCGAATTGGACTAATATCTCTTGAAATCAGGAATTTGTTCAACTTCTCCTTTGGCGTTACAGTTTTCTCTTCAGCAAAAGATGGTTCATAGAGACTACTTTTTAATATAGCACTTGTTATTGGGGTGAAAGAGATTTCACTTTCCTCTTCTTCTTCTTCTTCCAACTCCTCCCCCTCATCCTTCTCTTTCTAAACCACAAAACAAATGAAAAAGAAGAGAATAAGAGGGAGAATTTAAATGAAGGAGAAAAAATACAGCAAGGGAAAAGGGGGGGAGAGATTACAAATAGATTTAAACATCTATGACAATTTAACGAAGCGTGGTTAACTACAGAAACCAATCATTCGTTTCAGTCTCCTCACGGTTATCTTTCTTTCTGAGTTATAGTTTAGAGAGAGTATCCGGATTAAGACATGTCAAAATCCCATATGAACATAAAACTGACTTTTGTATTACGAAAGCCGGTAGCAGAGATTTTTTCGTACTATAATTCTCTTGTATCTAGCCTCAGCGAAAATCCGCGGGAACCAGCCCCATTTTGAGGAAAAAAATTATGATGTGATTAGTCACAATTCCCTTCTCACATTATGGAGAGAAACAGATTGAATAGGGAGGACCTGCATGGTGTGTTTTTCCTGATACTTAACAGGATGACAGAAGGCAAGCTGACTATAAATAGCGTAATGTGGATCAAAGCTTACCAGATTCAAGTTTTCCATCTGCATTAACACACTGGCGTCAGTGAAACGAGAAGTCGAACTTACTATGGCTGACGACTCTTTTTCTTCTACTACAAGCAGCCTGAGGGTTTTCCGACAAGATGCGCAAATACCTAAGAAAATTAAAGTCAAAGGCTTAAACTTAAAGTCAATATTTTTAAGAAAACGAACAGAGGTCACTGCAGTGAAACAAAGTTTGCAAAATGCAAACTTACCCGAGCCTATTTGAAGAAATACTCCAGTTTTCTTTAAAATTATTTGTGAATCAATTTTCCCGATTCGTAGGTCATATTTTGGCCACTTCTATCCTCTTCTGTCATGATTGGACAATGCCTCTGGAACTCTACATCTCGCAGTGGATCCTCTCCTCCAGCCCAAACCAAGCTTTTCGCGATGTAATGGACAAATGGTCATAGAATTTATGTTTGCAGGTTGAGTAAATACTGCTGCTCTGCTAAGGATAAGGTCAACTTCGTCCATTGGCCCGGAAAACCCCAGGCTGGCTGTGTGGTTCGAAATTGCTTTTGAAAAGGCCAGTAAAGGGATAATTTGTGTTTCTTTTTTCCTGTCTCTCGAGTCAAATCCACACATTCCTCCTACGATAGACTTAAAAGAACAGCACACCTCCATATTCACGCAATGACACGCGTCGCAACTCTCTGTGTTTACAAACGTTTCACTAAAGCTGTTACAAAATGAATATTTCTACTTTTGGACTGCAAACAAATTCTCTCCGTTCGCTCAAAACAAACAAAAACTGACACCCGTTTTTAAATTAGTACCGACATTCTTAATTAAATTTATTTGAAAAAAAGTGATAGCGATGACGTTTTTATCATTTCACAAGGTTTTTCCCAAGGGTAACGCCGCAAATTTTTTTTGTTTCCTCAGGCAATGATTTTTCTATAGCGATCATATTTTCTATAGCGGTTCTATTTGTTTTCCTTCTTTTTTTACTCTGATATTTAATAAAAATCGCTAAGATCCACTAGTCACTTGTTCCATGTTCCAATCCTGTCTTTCTGCATTTGTAGATTTCACTTGAATGAAGCGGTATTTCACAACACCCACGTGATAACATATGTTTTTGACTTGAGGTCTCTTGGTTCCGCTTTGGTTTACTGCCCAGTTCAAAACTAATGTTTCGGCAAAGAAGACTTACGAAAGGCACTCCGATACCATTTTTGAGGAAAATGGAGGCAGTGAAAATGCACATCAAAAACCAACGTCCAAAGCATGCAAAACAAACAATGCCACCGTGCCGCTATCCTGTCGTGGGAAATTATTTTGAACGATTGGTTCACGAACCAAATGAGAAATACAGTTTTCTTCATCATTGATTTGAAGACAAAAAGGTTAGATTCTATACGTTAAAATAGACCTCGACTTCATGTACTCTGCTTAACTTTTTAGGTGCTTCTGTCAAGTGCAGTGTGCGTGCAGTGTCATGTCACGTTTGGGACAGGTTGAAACACCGAAATTTATCCAACTTTAAAAATCAATTTCTTCGCTCTGAATCATTTCCCCCAAAAATCCTTTGGCACTCCAAAAGAACAACTCTTTGACTTTTAAACGCTACGTTTTCAACGAATTATATGCAGTACCACCAGCTTAAATAATAGGCTAATTTTAGATAAGTTTTCTTCCCGATAAAAATAGGTCGGGCAAACTAAATTAGATTTTAAAAGTAAATAGCCGAGAATTGATAAAAATTGCTTTAACGGTATTTTTTGACATCGGTCAACAATATGTGGTAGATTTTATTGCTCTAGATTGTTTTACTTTGTAAAGCGAGCCGTCGTTAATCGCCCTAAATTTCACATTGAAAAGGCGGCGTTTTCACAAAATTCAGTGATTATCGACTTTCTCGAAAACTAATCGATACTTAGTAAAATGAACTATGCAGTGTTTTGTTTTACATTAAGGTCTACCTAAAATGAGACTATGAGCCGAATTGATTTTTGAGCTGTTGCCACGAAATTTTGAAAATGTTTGATTTTTGGTAACATTTGTTCTTAATTTGCAATCATCTTAAATTAGAAAGCAGCTGTTATGAGGGAAAGAATTTAAGCAAGGTTCACGTTTTTAACTTGTTTGAGCTTTGGTTAAGTTAATGTGGCACTAGACAGCCTGACCTGTTTATGGCTCGTCTATAGCTAATCATAAATAATCAAAGTCTCTACTTTGTGCTAAATATTTTAATTGAAATCATTTCTGGCTTCTTCCTCTATTCGCTAAACAGGCTGCCTGATAGCTGAACTGCAGATCTTAGGAGTAAAAGCAAATTACATGAAGAGACCATATGATTCCACAATATCCTTTGCTGTCCATGGAGTCCATCTTGTCGATGCGATTCAGAATTTTGGGCCTGAGTATGAACTGCTGTTTTCTTCTTGTAAACCGCAACCCGTTCCATCTTCAAGCAATGCTAGCCACTCTCGGTCGACAAGTAAGTTACCTGTTGCCTCTGTATGTTTGTGGCCTTCTTAAAGCTTTTTGCTCATTTCCAGCGTTTATTCTGCAGAACGGGCTTTCTTTTAGTTGTTCTTTGTACAAAAAAGCTTTCAAACTAAGGCCATGTTGAATTTTTTGCTGGAATGTTCAGCCTGAACTTATTCAAAAGTTAATCTTTGACGTATGAGTTATAAGTTATGAGTTAATTGATGCCATTTACCACTCAGCCTATTTATGTGCGTTCATCTTTGTCTTTTGAAGGTGAAAAGTCCTTCACGGAAACAGTAAGCAGCACATTTTCTGTGGTAGCAGATCTTGTCAGACCGGGATCCACAAGAAAGCTACAGGAAAGTGATGTGTCTTTCACCAGCGAGACAACGGCTGTTATGGAGGAGGAAGATCTTATCACGTTTGACTACCAGCACTATGATGCTGACAGTCCTTCCTCGAAAAGTGTAAATGGAAGTGGTATGAATAATGTCAACCTGCAGTTCAATGCCCTTAATGTCATCGGTAAGACCTAAAATGCATTTCATGTTGAAATGGTTCTCTAAGTGTTTGATTAGAAGAAGTTTTCTCTTCGCTTTGTTTGCAGCTGCCGAAAGGCTTTTATGTTTACCGGTATGCGTATTCTTTGAGCAACAGATTTTGAGCATAATTATGATGATGTCGATGTCGATGTTTGGAGCAGTTTTGAGGATTTTCAATTTAAAGACAGTAGTCGGCATTTAGAGTCTAATAGATTATAATAACTTTATTACTATCTTAATTCTTAAGCTTGAACGTAAACGTTTGTCACTACACTGGTAATAATGAACAGGAAACAAGGCTCTTATATTAGTCTTGGAATGTTAAATATAGTATTAAACAGTGCTTTTGTTGCCTCTGCGTCCTGCGTCCCTGACGCATAAAACTTCCCAAGGACGCAAAATAATTCATGGCATGCGTCCAGTAGGAAGAAAAGATCGATCGATCCATCTCAACATGTGTTTTTGTAGAAATATTCGGTTAGTGTAATTACTGTGGCAGTTATTATGGCTGTTGTTTAACGACGCATACTTTTTTTAGCCCTTGTTGTGCTTTGAAGTAGAAGGACTATATTTCAATTTCAGTATACTGTAATACGGAGTTTTGGAGTCTGTCTTCAGATAAACTGTCTGGTTACATAAGGACCCAATTTTGGACTCGTGTTTTGAACTGAGACACGATAGTTCCAGATCGAGACTCATTATTTTTCGCAAGATGAACCCCAGGACTCACCACCCCACATTTTTGTAACAAAATCACTTAGTATTAGCAGTGGACTACTGTCTACTCTCCAAGAGGGACACTTATGGGACCAGCAATATGTGTCCGTGTTAGTGTTGTAAAGAGTCAAAATGAGTAACTAAAAGGAGTAAAGAAAGGCCGGACAGGGACCATCTCTAGCCGAGTCTGTACTAGCCATGTGTCCGTCTTATAGAAGTACCTGTTAAGATCGAGAGGTTACTGTATTTCTAACAAGATGTTCAGGGATGTACAGCTAGGTAACAATTGTTTTTATTTCCCCACAGCAAACCAGGAAACGCTTGCAGCTTTGGTTCAGTTTTTTAGTGCTTCATTTTCATCTGGTGAAACCGTTTTGAGCATGACAGACTTACCAACAGTGCCTGAACAACCTGACATAGAATCCCATCAAACCCAAGCTGAGGTAAGTGTAGTGAAAAAGAAAATCAAACAACGTTAGTTAAGTGAATGTATATAGATCGTGTGTTAGATTATTTGTACGTTAAGGGATTCATTAGAGGCAATACTTACCTTTTTTTGACTTGAAAGTTATTTCCCATCTTTTTGGGCCAGCGCATATAAGACTTGTGTCGTGTGTAAGAATACTGAAGCCCTCCAGATAATCAGCCCGTTTTGAGTCGAAGGCAGATATTACGTCTACATTGGAAGTGCGAGCAACCGAAAGGAGTTCATACCAAGGAATATGCATAAGTTAATCAAAGATGATTTTTCCATTTGCGGGACACAAAAAAGTTTGTTTGCAAGGTAGTTCATACCTCTCGTAGCCCCCTAACATCTTTTCTTACTTGCATATGTCTTTGCGTTTTTCAGGAGCAGGTATCTGATGTAACGGAAGTCAGGGCATCATTTAAATCTATCAACGTTCTGGTAATAAGAAGCGTCAATGTTAATGGAATGAAATCTGTGCGTAAAGTCGCTGAAGTGGCTGTTGGCGAAGTTCAGCTCAATGCGTCTTTAGGACAATGTCAGCGTCTTGATGGCTCCTTAGGAGGTTTTAGAATAATAGACCTTACTCCAGAGGGCTCATTATATCGCACTGTGTGTACGTGCGGAAGTTTATTCGCAGGGGATACCACCACAAGAGAACCCTCGTTTTTATGGTCGTTACCAGAAGACATGCAAGACGGCCCAAATGACCAGCGAGCGTTTACATTTACCCTTGTTATTCCTCCAAAGGGCGGACAAAGCCCCAGACTTGTTGTCGATGTTCCGATGGAGAGTGACGTGGATGTTTCTGAAATCGCTAGAAACATTCAAATAAATGTACGGGTTGCTTCTGCCCAATACACCCACACGTATAGATTTCTTTCCGAGCTTTTATTGTCGGCTGGTGATTATGCTGTGTACGCCTCCCAGTTTGGGAAAACCTTACGTCAAGCTGCTAGCAATGTGGCCATGGGCCTTGCAAGTAAAAAGAGAGCACTGGCGGAAGGTCTTGACTACTTGTCGTCATCCTTTGTCACCACAGGTGGACAGGAGGAGAGGAGTCTTGGAAGTCGGCAGGAGAGCTTATTGTTTGAAAATGATAGCGATGCACTTCGTGAAGGTTGCGACTTTGTTGACAATATTTCTTTGAGTCCAAAGCGACGAGTTTACAGCTGTATCTCGGTTGACTCGCCAATTGTGCAAGTGCCCAAGTCTTCCTCGAGCACAGAAATGCTTGTGGCTCATTTGGGTAATATTACGGTTCGAAACACGCACTTGATGGAAGTCGTCGAGGAAGAAAGTGACACGGGACATTTGGCTGCGGAGGAGCATGACATTGATCGCTTGTTCGTGGAAATTAAAGAGATGAGTCTTTACTGTTTGACGCCAGACCTTAAAGATTCATCAAGAACTTCGTCATTCTCTTCCCCAGAATCATTTACAGGCAGAAACGCCCTTAATTCACCAAAATCCTACGGTACGCATATTCTTGGCAAAACAGCTTTTGAGCTCATGATGGATCGTCGTTCTGAAAAAATTGGTTCACTGGGTGCACCACTGAACACACAAAAACCAACCATTCACATTTCCGGGAAGGTTGCCAGTCCTCTGCAGCTGGAACTCTCCACTCATTCTTATCACCAGTTGCTTGACACTATTGATAACATTGGTGGTGGCAAGGAAACAGTGCCTGTCCCTCCCCCTGCTGTGGTACATTCGTCATCTCTGGCTAGTCCTGCTTCTCAGTCTCCAAGCACACTTTCTCCAAGGTGACATGGCACTAAAAGAGGCTATGTCACTGGTTTCTTGTCTTGTATATATTTTTCATGCTTCTGTATCATAGTTAACCCTTTAAACCCCAAGATCGAAATTTGAAATCTCATTTGTTGCCCCAGGAGCCCATCAAATGGAGCCTCCGTCTCCCATACAAGCCCTTGGAGTCAACCCTTTCCCGTGTAGATTTATAATTAGAACGGTTCCCAGGGGAGACTTTGCGCGCCGACGGTGGGAAGAGCCAATCACAACCACGAAATGACACTGCTATTGTACTTCGTCAAACAGCAGGAAATTCGGTGTTGACAGGCCAAACACAATCATAAGCTAGTGAAACGTGACTTTATCGTTTTCATCACTCAGAGATTTTTTTTTCTTTCTAGCAGGTAGATTATACTGTGGAGAGTTTTAAACTCTGACTATGTTAATCTTAATTTTGGTTACTTGTCTCACATTAAGAGGCCATGAAGCTGGTCTATTACATACATAATAATTAACTACTACCTGCAGTCTGTAGCTCTGACAGGATTTGTCTTATTGTCTATTAATCAAATTTCTAGTTTTTCAAGGGTTTTTTTCCGAAATCCGTTTATCTGAATAAGTACTTGTAGTCCTTGTGGTTGTTTTGTCCTTCAGCTAGTGTGATGATTCCCTGCTACGTTTTGTAACGCCGGGCCCAGCAATTGTTTTCTCGAAAAAAAAGTGATCTACAGATGCGAATTCGAAGGAAGGAATTGAGCCTAAACTTCTACATTAACTGCTGAGAATTGTCCCCTTAGTCAGTCGTAATTCTTTTGGCGCAGATACAATCCATTTTGTTTTTCTTGAGATAAGTGGGTCTTTGGACTGGAGCGCGATGTCACAAATTCCTCCGTTAGCAATTTATTTTTGGGTTACCTTCACGGTCGAACAACTGTTGTCTTCTGTTCAACTTTTCAAGTGCCAGTTTTATCAGGCAACTCTCATGGTGATACAAGTCAGTTGTAAAGGAAGACTCCAATTTCTCAAATTTCGGAACTGAAGCATTCCTCGTTAGTGGCTACTTAGGTCATCACTTTTGCACGCGTTGCTCAACTGGCGAAATCCACCTACGGTGATGACAAAAACCAAATGATCCTGGCACTTTTTCGGCGCTGATCATCGAAAAGTTCCAAATCGTCCACAGAACGCTTAATCGTCGACTCTTTTCAAGGTGCCTTCTTAAATGTGGGATGTATGACGGCAAAAAAAAGAAACAGTCGCAAAGATAACCTTTCCGTGATCCTCAGTTCGCTGCCTTTGTCCCATCGCTTCATGCTCAGTCTCAGTCGGGTAATTCATTAACTTTTATTTCATGATACCCAGATCCCAGCGGCTGTAAAATTGTAAAAATGGACGTAAAGGGAAAAAAAGGAAAACGGTCGAAGGACGGGCTTCTTAGTTCGACTTCATCCAATTTTATTTTTTCACGGTGACACACGAGACTCACGGAAATATGACACTTTTCGCGGGAAACTAGCCGTTCTATTCATAAATCTACTCGGGAAAGGGTTGACTCAAGAAATTAATGGAGATGGAGGCTCCATTTGATGGGCTCCTGGTTGCTTCTATTCATTTTCTACGGAAGTAGTGGGGAGAAGTTTATAAAATAGCAAGTAAATTCATCTTGCGTGATCATGTCTGTAATTCTCACGACCACTCTGCTTGACAAAGGATTGATTTTAAAAGGAGAAATTTGTTGCTGATCACTCTTAGGGCTTAAAGGGTTAACGTCTACATCTTTGGCTTTTCCCTCTTTTACGAACAGCCATGTTGAGGATGTTCAATTCACCATTTGCACAACTCCGATAATACACCTTGCGTGCCCTCTCAAAGTTGCGCTTAACCATTTTTCCAATTTGTCCTGGGTAGTGCAGTTGTCCCAAGAGAAATTGAAGTCATTGCTAATGCAAAATTTTGGGAGGGAAACAAGGTGCATTGCGTGAGAGGTGCCAATGGCGAATTTCAAAATATTTTCGTACGGTGCATATGAAATGTCTCAATCTATCCTGACACATAAAAGAGGAAACCGTGAGACAAAAAAGTTTTAAGGGAGGGAAGATGGTGATTGACTTGGATTATAAACCTGGTAATTGAAGTGTTCAGCCTAATTTTACAAGGGCATAAAACGTGACCTCGAATGTTTTGTGTCGTTCCACACTGGTCTAGTTATGGCAGATAAGATGGCAGCGTTTTGCGTTTCGTTTATCGAGAACACGGTGTAATTAAGTAACGTGATAAAATTAATAATTACATGTATGAATATTCAAATAGATTGGACAGCTTGTCGAGTTGTTGCGGCAATAGGGTCCTTTCGATAAATCTAATATCAACTTCATAGTGAGGCTAAGACAAGCCTTCTGATATTCCGCGGAATAAAAAGCAAAATTTCGCGGGATTTTCACCAGAGGAAAAATCGGCCGATTTCGCAGGATTTTTGCGGAAAAAAAGTCAAAATTCGCGGAAAAATCGGCCGATTTCGCGGGATTTTAGAGGAAGAAAGTCAAATTTCGAAGGATTTTTATTGGCAAATTCTTAAAACATTCAGCCGGTTTCACTGGAAATTTCCGGGGAAAACTTCGCCAAGAAGTAATCAGTAAAAAACAGCCGATTTCGCTGGATTTTTTTGGCAAATTTTGCTAAAATCGATCAATTTTGCGTGGATATGACCAGCGTTGTTTAAAGTTTTTTTAACAGGGATAATCATTTGCTCTTTCAACAACAATTCGCTCGAGGAATGAGCGAATGCTAAAGCTATTAACATTATGGTTAGTGCCCAGTTTTTCGCAACATTAATCTAAGAACGCCTGGTAGTTTTGGGACGTTGTTTACTCGTTGCAGTGACGAAGTTTCAAGATAAATTTGGACGTTTGAGGTGAATAAAACAGGTCTAATAGCCAAGAAAAATATTAAATACGTTTTGTATACATGTATTTGGCAATATTTCTGGCGGATTTCGCGGTATTTCGTAATTTTGGGGGAATTTCGCGGGTCTGCGACCGCGCGAAATATCAGAAGCCCTGCTAAGAGGATACAAAAATAAGAAAACCGATAAACTTTTTCATTCTTTGAAGTTTCTTTATTGTGTGCTTTACTATGAAGTTAAGTTCTAGTATATAGTCATATCACGTTTAACTACATCAATATGCCAAAGTTTCTTCGCATACAGTTTATTTAGCTTAGAAAGAGTTTCTAACCTTTGTTTTTAGTCGAAGTTTGGCCTGAATCCTAAAGTTTCTTTTGCTTCCTTACAGCTCATCTGCATCGAATCTGGAAGCCTACATTCCAGAAAAGGTTTTGCCGGAGAAACGGGTATCTTTTGTTCCAAATGTCTCATTTGGAGCAAATGTTGATAGCCCTGAAGACCTCAGCATTGATTATGAACTTGAGACAGAGGGCCCCACGCCAGTAAGAGCACATTTTGAATTGCCACACTTCAGCATCAAGCTTTGTGGAGAACTCAACAAAGTTGAACACGACTTCGTGGACATCATGTTCTATGACTTTATCCTTGGTTATGAGCACACCAAACCCACAGTCACTCTAATTGACGTTTCTCTTGGTGGACTTCTCGTGGAAGATCTACTTCAAGAACACGATTCGCCTTATCGTCATCTCATTTCCTCTTCTTCTCCTCGTCAATTCCATTTACGTGAACGCTCGCTTTCTGCCTATCCCTCCAGCCTCTCCACATCCTGCCCCGTTGTTTCAGATGCTGGGTTACGCTCTAATTTCTCGTCCTCCCTTCCACACTGTCTCTCCACTACTCACCAGCAAAGCCCGTTTCGCTCATTAGCTCCCTTGCGGCCACTCATGGAGACTCATAAATTTTCATCTCTACCTTCTGTGAACGCCTCCATTGATAGAAATTCATCCGTGGAAGATGTAAACATTGTGCTTAAAGAAAAGAAGAGAAATAATCTTGTACACATTCAAGTTCTTTTGGTTGACAAGAAAGACGACGAATTTAGTACCAAGCACAATTCGGTAGGTAATCTTTCTCTCGTTATCTTTCTTTGTCAGGTCAGGTCGTACATATTCGGTGTCAAGAACAAGGCAACAAATGTGTTAATTTATATGAAGATACCAAAAGCTGTTGTCAAAATGACTGTCGCTTTGGGGAACAGGAAGCCCGCGGTTGTTTTTATGAAAGTTAAAGAAAGGGTGGCATGCGGGAAAAAAATGGAGAAAAGCAGACCACGTTTAATTGGTTTAAAACAACACAATAGGAAATAGACAAACACATCCATATTCGACTGAGACGAGACAGTGACTTTAAAAGGCCAGCAGTCACAAAAGAAAGTAGAGTAACGGAAATAATGCTACACACCGCATGGCCTTGTGAGATTCTTTTGGTTGGTTTTTTCTTAAGGGAAGGGAGAAGGGGATTAAAAAGGCTTCTTGCTCATCCCGATATCATGATAAAATTTACTTAAGTCGACATCTTGTTTGATTCATGACGGACTTAATTTTTTCATGTTGTTTGTTCCTCTAGGTAAACCGCATGATTGATGTGGATTTTAACTCACTAGAAGCAAATCTAAATCTCCAGACGTGGGTAATTGTGTTAGAGTTTTTTGGAATTGGAGTTCCACAGCAGCCCCTAAGCTCCCAACCCAGCAGCCCCAGTGCACAATCAAATCCATTGGACAATGCACTTGATGGAAAGCAACTTCCAGTGGAGATAGAAGGTACATAGAAACACTGCTCATGAATTGTGCTATTCACGTATGTGAATTATTTTAGGCCAAGAGTATCCACCAACTTAGGTAAGACGTCCTTTAAATTCTCCGCTCCATAAATCTAGGAGAATGTACCGCCTGGTCTCAAGTGTCTGCCATATCATAAATAAAATAAAAAATAAAAATAAAATTTCATTGAATCTCCCAATCAGGGTTTTTCAGACCCAACGTACATAAGCATATAAATAATTCATATTAAGGTAAAATGTCTAGACGTTAAAGTTATAGTAGTAGATAAAAACTAGTTGACAAGAAATGATTCGAAAAGGAATTCTCTTAGTTTATTTTTGGAAGTACGCAGGCTGTCTGCAGCAGTGATCGCACGTGGCAATGAGTTCCCGAGTTTAATTGCTCTCTATAGAAAAGTTCGCTGACTTGCAGCCGATAAGCTGGAATATTAAGATAGTCCTTATTTCTTGTGTTGCCACCATGAACAGTAGATCTTGTCACAAAACCATCACTCAAGTAACTAGGTGCTAGCCCTTTCACACACTTAAACGCGAGAACGCCTACCGTATACGTCAAAATAATAACTCACAGGGAGCCAGCGTAACTCCTGAAGAACCGATGTTATATGATCAAATTTACGTGTATTAGTGATTATTCTTGCGGCAAAATTCTGGATTTTTTGCAGCTTTGAGATACTTTTCTTAGTTGTGCTAGACCATACTGGAGAACAATAGTAAAATGTTACGAAAAATTGTATTGCGTGACTAGCGTGACTTTCTAGAAGCTTCGCGAGAGTTCATAGTTTGTTTATTTTAGGATCTTGTGTAAGCGTTTCTAAAGCGGTATATTTTGTAATCTTTCTATAATTAGACTATTTGGAAGGTTCTAGAATATTATTGTGAAAGTATATAAGTAGGCGAGTCCGAGTTAAGTTTTAACTAGTTTTCACAAGCAAAGAGAGTTTGGTGTTAGTCGTGTTTAGTCAAGTATGACGAGGGCAGTGTTTATTCCAGTTGGCGGAGGCCGTGTAAGTTTATCAAGTTAAGTGCATTTGGCGGAGGCCGTGTAAGTTTATCAAGTTAAGTGCATTTGGCGGAGGCCATGTAAGTTTATCGAGTTACGTGCTGTTGTGGAGTTTTACTTCGTGGAAACCACGTTCATTTTTGGAATAAATCTTCTTGTTGCCGTTCCGACAACCCTGTGTTCAGTTTGGTTTGCAAGCTACCCGTCCTCTAAAAGATTACCCGCGTAAAATATAATTTGCTGAACACCAGCGCATTTATAACATTCTCCAATATCCTGGTACCGAGAAGATGTTTCACCCTATTTATCTGACATAAACTACCTAAACATGACGAGACAGTGTTTGTAATATGTTCATCAAAGCTAAGGGTGGAGTCTACTTGAAGTCCCAAGTCTCGTGAAGAGGAGGCTGTAACTTCCTTTCCAAGTAGGGTGACGTGAAAGTCTGTAGGTAGTCTCTGTAGTATTTGTCGGGTTCCCAACACCATCAACTTGGTCTTGTCTGGGTTGATCAAAAGACTATTACCAAGACGCAATCTATCATAAGTTTAAGAACGTCCTATCTTCTAACCAACCAAATCTGACCTTGCTTATATGTTCTGTCACTGATATTACCTGAGATTTTATCTCCTCTCTTTACTGCTGCCGATTATCTGAACATGACGGTGTACAACAAGAAAGCTCTTGCTACTCTGGGCACTGTACACAAATGAACTTAATGTCTTTTAGTTAATTATTATTTATCACCTACTTTATTTTCCTTCCTATGTACACTTGTGTAAATACCTTATATAGTGGGAAATAAAGAATTGAATTGAATTGAATTTGACATCATATAGTAGAGACTTTCATAGGTGTCGTCATCATTAGCTATACGCTGCATGGGTGCCAGAGGCTTTTTCTGACCTAATAGCCCAGCGTCAGCGAAGCCTGCGTGTCGGGCGTTTTAATCTTAAGTATTTTGAGAACGGAACTCTGGGGCTAGACACTACCTACACAGGTCTTGTGCCGTGAAGGGTTCCGCAGGAAACCTTCCCTGCGTATTGCAAGTTGTGTTTAGTTTTGTAATATTGGGGTAAAGCGGATCGGATGGAACACCGCTGTTAGCAATTCACCAAAATTCTTCGACTGCATCTATTGGGAGAATTTTCACAGCGCTCACGACATTTTTCGACTTCTCAATGTGGTGCTTGTTAAGGTTGGGGAGAGGCACTCACGTAAAACCCCTTATTGATGAAGCGTTTTTGAACATTGCCTGGTACTACTGCTTTTTCAATGCAAAATTTCTGTTTCTTTTGTTTCTCATTAACAGGTGTTGAAGAACCGGCAGAGAATGAAGGCCTAAACACAGAAGTCAAGTTCCAAGTATCGGCGTTAACCCTAGTACTGAGTAAAAAGAGATATCCCCTAGCCAAGGTGAAGGCGTTTGGACTTTTTACTGATATAAACATGCGAGACGGTAACTTAGCTGCAGCAGGGAGACTCACTAGTGTATCAGTAACTGATATGTCTCCGCATGGAACTTTGTACCGGGAAAAGTAAGTTTGTATGTCGGCGTTGTCAAGTCATTGCCGGTGATATCTGTATGTTTTTTATCTCACATAATTTCTAGGACGTTTGCCGCATTCCACACGCTACATTCCACATTTCACATTCCACATCCCACATCTCGCATTTCGCTTTCCACATTTCACATTTCACATTTCGCATCCCACATTCCTCATTTCCTCCTTTCGCATTCCACATTCCCTAAATCAACATTTCACCCTAAACGAGAAGTAAGTGTTAATGTTGGCTTAGGGGAAGGGTAGGTGGGCAGTTTCCCAGAAACCTAAATTGATCCATTTCTTCTGCAACCTCATTCAGCATACCGCATACCGCATTCCGCATTCCGCATTCCCGATTCCCCATTCCCCATTGCACAATCTGCTTTCCACATCCCGCATTTCTCATTTTGCATTCTTCATTTTTTATCTGGCATTCCACATTTTTAGGTTCAAAACGTTCGGGGACGAAGCCCTGAGTTTCAATTTCTTCAAGTATGGCAGTCCAGACCCTGATTTACTGAGAGACCAAGACATGAGTCTAAAGTTGCGCATGTCATCTGTGCAGTATGTACACACCAAGAGATTCCAGACAGAGCTAGTTGTGTTCTGTCAACACTACCTACAACTCCAGGAGGTCTTAGGCAGAATGAGGGCTGCTTCTGAAGGCAACGAGGTAGTATGATGACTAATATGTTATACACGATAAAACGTAACTTTTAATTGGTACCAGTGTATAAAAATAGTACCTCGTGGGTAAGGGTACTGCTGTATGCAGTTCTCTGCGTTGTGGGACTCGTTACCTTATAGCAGTCCTAGCACGCCCGACTGCTCAGGTGCCCCGTTGGGCGGGGAGCGTTTCCAGGGGGTCAGGCGTACTGGTGTACCCTCCTTCAGGCGTTGCTCGGCAGAGCCATTGCACTACCGGGTTCGTGGCCGGGGGCGCCTAAAAAAAAGCGTGGCTTCACAAATTATTGTATGATTGTCGTACACTTTATCACATTCCACACATGAAAAATGAGTTTTACATCGCTCACACAAAAATTGCATGCGTAACAGTGTTCAAGCTTGTAAAGCGGATCGCAAGCGTTCTTTAAAGCTCCTGATTTTAAGAAAAAGTGAGTCAAATGGTTTTACACGAAACTCGAGTTCCCGTTTTTTTTTTTTTTTTTTTTTTCAGAGAGATCTTGAAATGGGCTCGACGGAAAGGCTTTATACCTTACATAACATAACATAAACTTTATTACGACTTCTCTATACGGGGCTATTCTGTCGTAATATACGATTAAAAAAATATACAATAATAAGATTACAATGGGGCAAAAATATTTTCATCTGTTACAATAAGAAATATTTACATGAGTTTATATACAGTCATGATAAATGAGGTTCAATGTCTTTAGGAGGAGTTTCCGAGATAGTGGGCGGAGACTTTCCTTATAAAACTTGAGATATTGTTTAAGTTCCGAATGTTTTCTGGCAGTCGGTTGTATTCTTTTGCCCCACGAAAGGCGAAAGAGCGTTGACCAGTTGATAATCTGCATTTAGGTAGATTTAACCGTGACATGTTTCTAGTGCTGCGTCGTGACACTAAATGTAACATGAAATAAATTGCAAAGATAAGGTGGTGCGTGATTTGTCCTACACTTTTGAACCATAGTAACAGTATTTAATAGAAGTTTTTGACGGACGCTTAGCCAACCGAGGGATTTGAGCGCAGCAGAGACATGATCGATTTTTTGATACCTAGGATCTGCAAGCAAAGTTCTGGATAAGTTGAGGCTTAGAAATGTTTTTGCTGGAGGTGTTACCCCATACGCTAGAACAATAAAAAAGCCTGCTAAAAATAAGAGCCTTGATAATTAAAGAAAGTGTTTTGTTTTTTTTCTTGCTTAAGATGATAAAATGACTCTATTGGTCCAGTTGATAAGCAAGAAGATTCTTACCTGACCGCTAGAATGAGAAATAGTTTTTTTAAAAAATTCTACGTCTTGAAACTCGTCTTGCCACTGAATCCTTAATTCTTTGACTTGCTTAAAATACTAAAATGACTCTATTGGCCCCGTTGATAAGCAAGAAGTTTCTCATCCATTCCCCCACTAAGCACCCCCTTTTTTTCTTTACATCACAACAGGTTTCGTGGATGTTTGGTAGAGGAACACGAGTTACACTAGACGTCAAAGCTGGTAATCCAGTGATTCTTGTGCCTCGCTCAGCTAAGTCCGGTCACATGCTGGTGGTAGACCTTGGTAATCTCTCTGTGGCCAATGACTATAGATGGGATGGTTCATCGGGTACTTTGAGTCACTGCATGAACCCACAAAGGCCACAATATCAAAATGATTCCGGTAAGTCTTTGGGTACTGATTCAGACGTGAATCGTCCTTAATTGCGGGCGACCAGAAGAGCCTGCAGTCCTAATCTCCAGGTTGTTTAAATTCACGGCACGTATCTAGTCACGAAATCTAATCAAGCGTGTTCGACCTTCTATCACGTGAAACTTACGCAAAGCACAGCGTTGGAGCAAGAGCGTTTTGACCTCCAATCGTTGTCACCTGCACTCCATAACCTTCGGTTATTATAGTATTAAAGCAGGCACTGACCGCCCAAAATAAATAAAGCAGGTGTCAATGGCCAAAAACATCTCTGACTGTAGCATTAAAGGGTATTAACTTGTTCATTGTTTAATTTTGTTGTTTTTCAGGACCTAACCAACCTCAGCATGTCTGCTTGTTGGATAGTATGCGCATTGAACTAGTGGATATCGATCTGTTTACAGCTACAAGAATAGCAGTCAATAACCAGAAGTCCTCCGGTGAATTCTCTTACAAAAGCCAGGTTTGACAAAACGTTTTGGTATAGATACAAGAATGTCTAAACTCCTCGATGTGGTTAGCTTTTGATGGCACAAATAGTGTTCGCTTAGTAGAGATATCCACATTGAAGAGGTTCAAAACTCCGGCAATACCCGAGTAAGAGTTCACTAGTGGTGTGTCTCTTAGCGTAGGCTAGGGTCGTTGCAAAATTCTTGCTGGCTTTACTAAAACCGTTGTGTCATTTGTGAACAGGGATTGAAGCTGTTCAAGGAGAAGTGCAGACTTAATTTAACAGTTGAACGTAACTTGGACTGGGCTTTCAGTAGAGCAGGTATGCATGATGAGCATTTTTTGTGCTCTTGGTGATCTTTTATTTCCTCATGGGCTGGTCTTCTGACCTCTCTTTAGTCAAGGAAGCTAACGTTACGACACGAGCTGTGGTGGCTTGATCTTACACTGGGGATGAGCGGAATGTAGACTCAACCAAACATTGCTTTTTATTTTCCTTTTCAGTTCCAGACATCAACGTCAGTGGTCGTTTGTCCTCGGTGGGTGCCTCGGTGGATTATGCACAATACTGTTTTATTCTTGGAATGCTTGGAGAGAACTTTGGAGAACCTCTTGAAGAGTTTGAAAGACCATCATCTGTCATCCAAGATCCATTAGGAAAGGTAATAGGAACTTTTTCTTTTTCGTCTTGAACGTCTTTGCTTCACCCAAAATATTGGTTCTGTTTTTCACTGTAATGCTATTTTGTCCAATATCATCGTACATTTTGTGGTTTTGGACACTTTGACTTGAAAATCATTGACAGGAAATTTGGAAATTTTTGTATAGCTTCTGTATGATCCTGTAGGTGGGGTTGGCAGCATGCCACCACAGGTTAAAGCATTAAACCTTGGCGGCCATGTGTCTATTGAACTTTGCCCTACTGAATTGGTGATCATTCATTTGCCCTTTTACACCCCCGAGTACACAGATACGATTCAAAGTTGACAAAATACCGTAAAGTTCCGAAAATAAGCCCCGGGGCTTATATTTTTCAAAGGCCCTTTTCGAAAGGGCTTATATTCGGAAGGGCTTATCTACGGAGGGAAAATTGCGTTTCAAAATCGATTGGGCTAGCCTTATAGTTAGAAGTAAATTTACCGTTTTTGCTTTGTTTTACTTTGTATTGAGGACAATTTTCCAAGTACAAGCCCAGGGGGGCTTATATTTGGAGGGGCAATTTAACGGAGGGTTTTTTGCGTTACCGGGTTTGGGGGGCTTATATTTGGAGGGGCTTATACATGGAGGGGCTTATTTTCGGAATTTTACGGTAGTGTCAAGCTTCATTTTGGAAAATACTGAAAATCGGAGATACTTCTTCATGACGTTTTACCGACTTCAAAAGGAGAAAATAAAGCTTTCCCTCCCGATTACCCTCCTTGCAATGTTGTGCCGCTGTTCGAGCTACCTTTAGAAAACAAAAATTTTGTCGCTGATTGTAGTTTGTACCGGGGCGACGGTACCGCCGAATTGGTTTCATGTGAATACCTTCACCATAGCCCATTGGCGACTTTGCAGCTGACTTATAGAGAGACAGGTTGAAATTGTTTGGCGGAAGCATTGAGTAAGGGCCCTTATTGTTCATGCTTTATTTTACCATAGTCATGATTTTTCTACCCTAAGTCCTCTTTGTTACCCAGCCTCCAGAGACAGAGGAGGTGTGGACCAGCCTACGGATGAGAATTGATCTCATGAATGTCAGTTTGGAATTGCATCCTGTTCAACTATTTGAACATCCAGAAGACTTTCCTGACCCCAGCCACCTTCCCTCTTTGGCCAGAATAGACTTCATCAAATCTAAGTTCGAGTTTGAATCTTTCTCTGACTGGTCAAAGACGATTGACCTGGTGTCTGAAGAGGTCATATTTGAAGATACCAGGCAAAAAGGTATTTCCTCTCTACTGGCAGTTTCGTTCAAGTATTTCCCTGACACACAGTGATGTTTTATTTCGGTTTAAAACGTTTGCTTATTGAAATGCATTCGGCTTTCTCCATGAGACGGACACCTCTCCAAGGCATGAATAAGGGATCTGTTTATTTAAACCTGGCAATCGAACTCGAAACTTACCTCACAAGAGGCAGTAGTGCACTCACCTGTGGCGGATCCAGACCTTCAGATAAGGGTGGGGGGGTGGTCGTCCAGACCCTCGGACTACTCCCCTAGATCCGGCACTACTCACTGACCGACTGTGCTAATCCTTTCACCATGAGACGGACACCTTTCTAAAGCATACATGCAGAAAGGGTTGTTTATTTATATGGAGTCTAACTTAGGCCGCGGTTTAAGAAATCATTGTAGTTCCAGATCCCTTGCTAAGCGGGTTATTTTTAGAAGATAAGTGTTCCTCTAGTTTACCCTATAAGCTACCATGAAACTGTTCACGGTAAACGGTGTTTAGTTAAAAGCGTTTGTCAAACTTAAAGTGGCTTAGAACTCGGGTTTTTTTGCACTGTGACGATCTCTGTTAATGACCGGCCTTTAAAGTTGTTTATTGTTTTCTTTGTTTAGCTATTTATCTTTTGACACAATTTAAGGCGGCCGCGGATAACTCTCTTGGACGGACTCTAAGTTTTCCGTTCTAGCGATGATTAGTCGTGTCTAACATTATTGATATGGAGTTCATTTTGCTTGTATTTTGGGTCTGTCCGGTCCTCAAGTGTGTGGTCTATTTGCTTTTGGTTTTTCCCCGTGAAATATGTTACAAAGTGGACTGAAAGTAATTTGGTATCGATAACATTAAAGCCATACAAATGAAAATATAATATTCTCGGATTAAAAATTAAGTACTTTTTTTTCTGTCCTATTTTGTAAGGAATGGACCTGGATGATTCTGACTCGTGCATCTTCACTGGAATTCTTTTACCACGAAGGTCATCTTTATCAGCTCGCGAGCAAGAAAACTGTCTTCAGTTTGAAGTTCATTACCGAGATACAACAAAAAGAACTTTGCTAACATTCCTGTTTGATCACAGCCGTGTTGTGTTGATCATGGACTACCTTTTAGATACGTACAACTTTATCATGTGCCGGATGTTCAAGACCAGCACAGGTTTGTAAGTTTAGCTTTTGATTGCAGGCGTCAAGAGGAGCCTTGCAATCCTAATCTCCAGGTTGTTATTACGCATGCGTCGCATGTATGTAGCCAGCATTCGTTTGGACTTCCACTAAGAATGTATGGAATGCACAGAACGCACTTTGATCACGCGCGTTTGGCCCTTCTATCACTCGTTATCTGATCACGCGTATTTTCACCATCTGTCATGTGAAACGTACTCAAAGCACAGCGCTGGAGCAAAAGCGTTTTGGCCTTCCATTGTTGTCGCCCTCATTTCGTGACCTTTGATTATTACTAGTAGTAATAAAGTGAGAAGGGTATGGAATATTCCCTTCTCGATGAGGCAGGGCTAAAAAAAACTTGAATTCCAGCTTGTCCTTTGCTTAAGCAGCTATCATATTTTGCTTGACCGGGTTCACTTCTTCCTCATTTCAGTCAATGATTTTGTTAGAGGACGTCTTGCCAGAACCCTTGCGCATTGGGCAAGTAAGCTTTAAAAGTTACTTGCCCAGCAAGAAAATTAGGGAGCTTAACCAACGATGACGGCGACGGTTACGAAAAGGTCACTTAAAAATTGAATTCCTGCTGCCTCAATTCGTCAAATGTTGTCAGACTTTTTTGGAGTTGAATTCTAAAGGACTGTATCAAAGTTCAGGAAAAAAAAAGAAAGTTGTTGTCGTGTGTTCTCGTCCTCGACAAAACGTGAAATTAGGCACTTTCACGTTGTAGTCTTGCAAAGACGGCTAAGAAATGTACAAAAAGCGTGATCACGTGCAAAGTTGATGTTCTGCCAATGGAAACCTTGGTCGTTGCCGTCGCCGTCGTCGCTGCTTAAGCTCCCTAATTACTTGTGCCGGACTACCGGACAAGAATTTTTTCTAGCTCCGTGAGTGCTTCTTGTCTCAGGTTTATTTTAGTTGTCATTGCCCTCCCAAGTACTTCAACGATGAGCCTGGTATCGCCCCATGTAAGGGAATCCAAGACAGTCTTGGATTCTGGATTCCACGCCGTAGATTCCAGATTCCAAGTACTAGATTCCAGATCTATTTCAGTGGTACTTGGATTCCGGATTCCTACAGCTGTATTCCGGATTCCACTAGCAAAAATTTCCGCATTTCGAAATGCGGATTCTCTTATATGGGGAGACTGGTATCTCTTGAGGTTGGATAGGTTTGTGGTCCACTTCGTCTATACGTAGGCATGGTAACTTTCAGCGAAAAATGTCAGCCAGAAATTACATGATCCTTCAAGCACTGGCCTGCAAGTTATGTGCCACGATTTCGGGAAGAGAGAGAGAGGGAGTTATTTCAACATCCGTGCATGCGTCAGGCTAGCGTATCGCAAGTGATGACACGACGTTTGAAGATGAGAAACAGATGGTTTACAGAGAGGCCGGAAGTAGCCAATTCAGCCAATATATATATAGGTACATTTTTTGAGAGGGGGGTGAGGAGAGGGAAGTAGTGCCTTTACATGAATCTTTGCCCGGTTAGATGGTTCAGTACATTGAAGCGGTCTTCTTTGTGCAGACACATCTGGAGCGCAGGAGGCCGCAATGGACGCCTCAGATGATTCCAGTTCATTCAAAGAATATGAGCCCCCTCCCCCATCGGCAATAGGAGTGGCCACTAGATGTGAGATGCCAGCACAACCTCTGGTAGGTAACTTATAACTAGGCGTTTTGTTAGCCTGGCTAGTTAGTTCTCACTTAGGGCAAAATGTTGGCTTAGGGGAGGGGTAGGTGGGCAGTTTGTGCATGGGTAACACTTGACAGTTAAATGGGTACTGATAAATTTGTTGCGCTAGAAGAGCCACAATGAATTCACCTCGTGCCAATTGTTCATAGTCATTAGTGTTGAAGAGAGTATGAAGAGTGTGAACTGAAGATTTTTGAAAACTACATGTAGGAAGACTCTATTTCTCTTAGATAATTCACCCATAATAGAACTGTGGAAGATCACAAAACATCAAGACCTACGAAACTGCGACGTGAATAAAAGCACGTCTGTATACAAAATGTATTTTAATGTATCTTTGTCGCAGCCGCAAAAGACGTTTGAGATGGAGGTGAATGTTTCAGGAACAGAGTTTGTTGTGTTGGAAAATATAAAGACTGTCGACACTCACGCTGTTATTCTTAAGGTATGACACTAAAGTGAAAACTTGTTGACATTCTTATTCCAAACGTTTTTTTGCTGTTGTGACCTGTTTTTGTTGTGGTCTTCTTCTTCGTTCAGTTATCAGCCGTACTGGCCTGGCGTCCAAACCATCCTGGTCAGAAGTGGCTATCCTGCAGTGTTCAAAGCCTGGAGATGTTTTCTTGTGTGCTTTCATGTGAAGAAGACACTGCCTTGTCAATTATTGACCCAGCCTCGGCACTGGTTGAACTCAATAATGCCAGACGACAGAAAGGAGGGAAAAACGCGAACCTATTAGATATTGCCGAGGAACAGTTACCAAGTCTGGAGGTTAGTTTAGGAAAGCTTTTCTATTCTTTGCAAGTTGGAGAACGTAGAATATTACAATGCAGCTACTCGAACCGGGGCACTTGGAAGAAGATTGTCCAATCACAACGGTTTTTGGAAACAAAAGATTTTCAAGTTTATTGGCAAACGGACCAATGACATTCAAGGTTCTACTAAGCAACCATTGAAAACTTTGAAATCGTTTGAACTTACCTGACCTCTCAGGAAACAGCCCCCAAATACATGAACGTTATTGGTCCTTTTGCAAAAAACCTTGAGAATCTTTTGTTTTCAAAAACCGTTGTGATTGGATAATCTTCTTCCAAGTACCCCAGTTCTAGTAGTCGCACTGCAAAAAGGTTTTTGAACCCTTCAACTTTAAAGTCATGAGTCCATGAGGGAGTTAATATTTATTCATCCTTGTTAAACATTCCTCAAGACACCTATCCAATTGAAGGTGGGAAACCACTGTGAGGCTTTTACTAGTATTTATCATGACAGCTCTGTTCAGTGGCACTTTCATGATTTTACTTTTTATTTTAGATTAACCTACAAAGTCCACTGACCATTCGAGTGTCTTATAACGACTACAAGCTGTACCTTAGTATCCTTAAATCTGTCTCCAAGCAACTGAACAGAGCCATCAAGAGTGAGGCTTCTGCTACTTGGCTGCTCGAGAATGCCACCCCTGTACACCAAGCGCAGACCTCCCAACAACAGGGCAGTGCTCAAGGATGGCGGTTTGCTCGTTGTGAGGTAAGTGCAAAGCCAGTAGTAGTATATTCGTTCAAGATTCAGCAAAACTCTGTCATAAGTAGTACATCCTATTGTAATGTGGTCAAAACACACGGTTCTTGCAATAGCAGTGCAGTAGGGTGCGTTTTCTACCTTCCCTCTTTCTTCGAACTTTCAGTGCACGCTGAGAAAAATTGTGCTATTCTCATTCTCGTTAAAGCCGTTGCGGTATGACGAGTTAATCAATTGGATAATCGCGTGCTACCGTAAAATGCACTCTATTGGCCATAGCTGTCCCCAGGGAAACTCTGTAGGCCTTTTATACGCCCTTGCAAACAAATTTGCTCTCTTCTCGCAATTCTACTCAACTTAGATTACCCACCCTCCTCTCCTATAACGACGCTGGCGAAATTTCTCTATCATCCACCCTAAGCCTTTTGCAATTTATTTTTTACCCATAACTAGTCCATCTTTAGGCATACGGTGGCTTTTATGCGAATTTAAATTCGTTACATTTTCCAGTTTTCGTTTTCCGCGTGTTGTGACATCATGGAAATTTCTATTTTGCCCACTGAATCACACGCTTAGAATTTGAATTGTTGTGTGAGGTGATATAATATCATTTTTTCCTTGCAGGTGCGAGCAGGAACTGTTTGTGTCTGTCTGATCGACGACTGCGGAAACAGTGACGTACCGCTCATGGAGTTTAGCACACAGAGTATGTATACTGTCGTTGTTAAGCTATTTTAGACGAGCAGGAATTCCTTAATACTGTCGTTGACAATTTTTCTGCGCTAGCATATACGGCTCAGAATATTGAGTCTCTGACAGTTGTGCCTATCTAGTTCCAATTGCGTTCTCCGACAATAAATAACATCTGGCAGCGGATTACGCTAAATGTTTCCATAGATTCTTGGCTTTTTCTTGAAAACTGTCCTTTACGAGTCATTTTCACTGACATATATTGTCATTTACAAGGGTTTCTCCAACTTGTATTCACAGTTGTCGCCTTTTTTGAAGTACGAAGTTAATAGCTTTTCATGCTGCCTGTTCAGCATAATTTTTACCTGCCAGGTTTCCCGAATTGAGAACATTTTTAAACTTTCTGTCGTGACTCCTTTGATCTATAAGAGCGTAGACGATCCAATATTGTAGCCGGAGACTATCAAACACAGTTGACAGTAGTTCTCGAGCAACGGGCGCTAAAAACTGCTTAGTTGTTGAAAAACGTCTAATGCAGTCCACATTGTGTTATAGATTTGTACTTTTGGCATGATCTTCAATCCACGGGTGATGGATCAGCTCACTGTACTCTGATAGTCCAATACTACAACAGGAATGTATCCGACTGGGAGACTTTTCTTGAACCTTGGAAGTGAGTCGCACATCTCTGTCAGAGGCTGTGTATCAAACCTTCCTAAGGGGGGTAGGGGATAGACGATCCCCTCCCCCCAGAAACGGCTGGTTCTTTAGCCTTGTTATCACAACTTCATTAATGTCAGGAATGTATCGATCCTGGAGAGCTTAGACATTTTTTCCTACCAGAGTTTCCACAGGTACCCCAAGCCGACGAGTGCGAATCGTTGTTACATAACCAAGAAATGTTATAAGGGTTTGTATGGAAATTTCAGCGATCGTTATTCATCCATCAAGGACGGTCGACGATGCTTTGCCACGAAGTTCCGTGCACGGCCGTTAGAGCGCTAAAAACTCCATACAAACCCTTATTATATTTCTTGGTTATGCAACAACGATTCTCACTCGTAAGCTTGGGGTACCTGTGGAGTTTCATGTCCCGAACTAGCTTCATCTTGAACGTTGATAGTTAGTCAAGGTTTGATTTTATTGCTTCTCTACATTGACTGGCTGAAACACATATCACCGCTGTCTCAGCTAATGAGACACAAGTTTCTTCGACCGGTTTTCACCCTAACGTTTATCTGCTTTACGTCACCTACTTTTTTGTAGAATTTCGTTAGTTTTTTTACTGTACATTGCTAAAATAAAGATCTTCCAGTGCGACAACTAATCACGTTCTGTGAGAATGTCTCATGCATGACGAGCCTCCGCTGACGATTAAACAACGCGAATTGCATAGTCTTTCATGATCGTGTTTTTAAATAAGTGAGGACGATTGTTCTTTTTCTACCAAACTGCTAGCTCTGTTTAAGCGCGTTGGAAAAAATAAAGTTTTTTTTTTCTTGCTTCAGATTGTTGATTCCATTCTCAAAATACATATTATATTAGTTGTGGTATTGACCAAGATGCAGACCAAGAAAATTCGATGTATCCATATAGTGAACCATTTTCGAGTAAATTATTTATGTTTCTAGTATTGAGGAAATAAAACTTGTCCATTGTTTTGTTCTGCAGTCCAATTCCTCATGTAATTATTGTAGTGTTTGTAGCTGTTAACTTGTAAACATGTCTTACATTATAGATGTCAGCTTCACTGGCAGGAGCAACATAGGACGCAAACGTCAAAAGGCAGATTTCTCGCAAAGTTGGATGGTAATTTTTAGATACCTGTACCTGTAACGTTATAGCATGCCCTCACCTGAGTTTAACACGGAACGTATGACAGCAGCATCCTACGATTGTTTTTTTTTTTTAGAAAAATATGTTCGAAGAAAACTGTAATATTTATACCTTTTTGTAACGTTTAGGTGGCAGATCCCACTAATTTAATTTTTGCTAGATTTCATGACACAACTGCTGCGAATACTCTGTTCCGTCATCTTAGTAGAGGCCTTTAGATGACTCGATACAGTTTCTCAGGGTCAATACCTCCCAAGTTTGGGCATAATCTACGTCACCATAAACAAAGATTTCGAAAAACTGCCACCATAGTTGTATTAGATAATGGTGAAAAATTGTTATGATCAGGGTTGCTATGACATCTCGTCGAAATGACGCTATTACCTATTTTACTTACAGCAGTATTTCTTTGCACTTGCAACTGTTCTTCCAAAATCGTTCACGGGAGCTTGTTCCACCAAAGACCTCTCGGAGCAAAGGAGAGAACCAACAACAAACTCAACCCACCTATGGCGTCGACCCCGGGATTTGAACCTGGGCCACATAGGTGGGAGGCGAGCGCTCTCACCACTGCGCCATCCCTGGCTACTTTTATGACAAGCCCTGTGTTCGTTTGCACCAGATATTTTAAGTTTTTCTTTACACATCTTGTCCGCTTTTTTCTTTGCAATTCTTCCGTTCATTTTCAGCTCCTGCCCGTCTTGATGTCACAGTGACTACTACACTCATCAACATGATAAACCACACGATAGCAAGTTGGTCTGAAGATTACTACAGACCAGATCCACCACCTGTGTCTGCAGTTGCCACTTCAGGGACGCCTAGTCTCCCATCTGTGTCTTCAAGCATGAGTGGCAGTAGACATGACAGTCTAAACCGCAGCATGAGCACTGATAGTCCACTAAGCAGCCCGACCAGTAGACCAGAGTCTAGCGCCTCATTATGGTCAACGGGCTCTGGCTTTCCTCGGCGCCGTTCACCATTTGTTCCATTTTTACTAAGAAATCAAACAGGTGAGTTAAGTAGTAATCAGTAATGTGGCTATGACTTTGAAAAAAGTGTCCGTTTGTTTACTTTTTACCCTTTAAGCACAAATTCTCCAGACTGATCTCCGCCATACATTTCTTTTAAGAATAGTTGAGAGAATGTGGTTTAAGATCAAAGTGTTCTCCCTTTGTTCATCAATTTAGTAATTGTCATAACCTTTACTCTTGATGATCCGCTGATGTTTTTAGGAGAAAATTGATGTTGGTCGCTTTTGAGACCTAAAGGGTTAAGAGGCTTAAACAAACCTCGGGAAATAGGGAGCTTAAGCACCCGAGGTGACAACAGTAGCGAAAACGTCTCTTGTAGAGTGAATTGCGATGTTTTAAAATATTATTAATCACTCTAATCTCATCTAATAGATTTTGTCAAATGTTTCTGATTTTTTCTGGAGTCAAATCTAAATTGATTGCCTGCTGTGCCCCACAAGGAAAGATTTTGTTTTGGCCAGATAATAAATCCTTTGCAGATCAAGCTGATTCGGTCAAGATAGCTCATTATTAGCCTGGCTCTTTTTCGTTTGTACTTTACGGACCGAGACGCAACAAAGCACTCAAGAATGAAAATGGCCGAAATCGTGCCATTTTGTGACCGAACAAACTTGGTCGATAGCGCATAATTATTTGAAAGTATCCGTGTTACTTTGGTGAACGTAGAGTCAATACATTACGGAAGGCGTTTTTTTCTACAAATTGGAAGCACACAAACTAATTGTCTTCACGCTTACATCTCGTATTAAATTGCAGGATGTACCTTGTGGTTTAAGACAGTAACAATAACTCTGTCGAAAGTGATTTTGGCGAACACACAACAGGAACTTCCTGGTATTCCTGGGGCTGGTTCGGGCATGATATCTGAGTGGAAAGAGGTTCCTTCAGGTGGCGAAGCGCCTTTTGAATTTACATCGGGAGAAAAACAGCGACATAAGGTGAGTTATCTGAGGTGGTGACCTTCTGGAAAAATGTCAGTTGAATGAGTGGTAACATTACTGTGAGGCTCCACCGTACCTCTCAGTGGTGGAGACTGAAAGTGTGTCACAGTCAGTAACCAATGAGCAGAGAAAACTCTTTCAGAACAGGGTATCGTCTGCTCCCTACCACACTACTCACCCTCACCCCATTCACCCCTCCATCCGTCCCATCCCATCCCATTCCATTCCATCCCATCCATCCATCGCATCCCATCACATCCTTTTCTCTACTCAATTTTTCCTCATTAGTTCATGATGATTTGATTTGGCCCTACACAAGGTTAAAAACATCAATCCCTTTAATCGTTCTGATTGCAATCTGAATTCCTAAAAGAAGCAAAGCTGACACTAACTGTATTTTATCGTTGTCGTAGGAAACTCATGAGCTCAACATACATCAGGTTGTTGTGCAAATGGAGGGTTGGGGTCCTCTCTGCCCAGTCTCTGTCGATAGAGTTGGTACATTCTTCAGACAGGCACGACCTCAGAAGTTTGACACTGCATCCATGGTAAAGACCAAACAATCAAGTGATCCTAATCTACTTGCTTGTGTTCTTGTGTACTTAATAGGCAAATTTACAGTTGTATGCTGAGTAGAAGAGAGGCAAGCGGTGTCATTTATATATATTTAAATATGATTTTCATTTGAAAGTCAGTGAGGTTTCCAAACAAAGTGACATCCCCTCCTCGCTTCTATTCAAGTCCAGGAGATTCAATACACAACTGTGAAATGACATATTATTGTTGAGGAGATGTATTTTTTACATGGTAATTAAATTTTTTTATGGGTAGTTTTCGATCTCAAATCGCCACTTTATCTTACCTTCAGGTAAATTTCTTCGATTTAAGCACAATATTCTTGCGATTGCAAGACGTTGTAACGTTCCAAACGCTTGGCATACAACACGAGCAGGATACCCTGTTTTTGTTTTTTTCCTCTTTTTTCAGGCAGTTGTTTGCTTTACTCATACTCATATATTATAGCGGAAGCCTTTAAATTGTCAACCGTTTCTGGTATCAGATAGAATGAGAAATGAGGTGTGTTTCAGGTAGTTTTAGCGTTTGTTTTTTTCTTTGCTGATAAAAGGTCAGTCGCTTGTTTATGTCTTTAATCCTTTTTTAGGTGAGCGTTCTTCAGTCGGCGCGAGTAGTATTTGATGTCAGCTTGGAGGGACGAGCCCGTAAGGTAGTCACTCTGAGATCAGCTCTAATGATCAAAAACAAGATGGACTTACCTGTGGAGATAAAGCTTCAGGGACTCACATCATTACACCGTTAGTCCAGTGGCTTATTATTCCTTTTTTTCCTTTTTGAATACCTGCGGTCAGAGAAATAGTAATGAACCAAATTGGGCTTATGGGATCAATAAAGTTTTCTGGGTAACTGACCATCAACCCCTCCCCTAATTTATAATTTTTGCCCCAAGTGAAAAGTAAGAGTTAATGTTGACTTAGGGGAGGGGTAGGTAATCAGTCATCCAGAAACCTCAATTGATCCGACTAAAAGATACTCGTTACTGGGTAACTGACCACCTACCCCTCCCCTAAGTGAGAATTTTGCCCTAAGTGAGAAGTAAGAGTTAATGTTGACTTAGGGGAGGGGTAGGTAAATCAGTCATCACGAAACCTCAATTGATCCGACTGAAAAATGCTCGTTTCTGGGTAACTGACCACCTACCCCTCCCCTAAGTGAGAATTGTGCCCTAAGTGAGAAGTAAGAGTTAATGTTGACTTAGGGGAGGGGTAGGTAATCAGTCACCCAGAAACTAAATACCAAGATAATGTAAGCTAGATAGGTATTTCTGCTTATCTAACCGCGTTGTTTTTCAATAATATTTTCTGAGAAGAGAATGTTTGCGCTCAACCTTTTATTAACCTTTTTCTTTTTTACATTTTCAGGGACTTCAACTCTTCCAGTCCTCCCTCCAGAGGCCTCAGTTGCAATACCATTACGATGTACCTCTTGGAAATTATACCTGAGACCCCACGGGGTCGGGGTGGGGTTTTGTTCTCAGCCACTAGAATGGAAAGGCGTTTTACGAGGTCACAGAACAATGGGCTACAGCCGGGAGTGTTATCCTGCTTCAACAGCTGCAGAGTCTGGAAGGAAGTTTAGGTATAAAGTGTCGTCTGTTCACGTAATGTTGTTGTAGAAAGTGTGAAACTAAAAAAGAGGAGAAAAATAAGATTAGGACACAGCGTAACCTATTAGCAAGAAAGCTCAGGTCTTGCCCCAAGTTCAAGTCACGCCCTGATAGCTAGCTTGATTTGCTTTCGGTGGTCCCGAGCTCAGATCACCGCCCACCCTAATGTTTTCAAATATTGTGAATGATTGCTTTTGAGGCATTTTGAAATTCATACGTTATTGTTATAACAACCAGGTTCTGTGTGGCAGTGAAGAGAGAAGGTTATCCTGAGGATGTGCCTTTACATGAGAGTGCTCCATCGAAGGGCCTGAATATAATGACCCAGCCAGCTCACACCCTGACCATAATGTACCCAGTGATGTTGGTAAACCTGTTACCATGTGATTTGAGCTACAACGTCCAGAACATCCCAGCTAAGGGAAACATTAAAGCTGGGAAGTCTGTGCCTTTACATACCGTAAGTACCATGTTTCGTCCTTTTACATGAAAGACTGGAAATTAACTGAAATGTAACTTAAATGTTAAGCCTTTCATTGCCTAACCACCTTATGGCGATATTATTCGTCACTCCTAAATGAAACCTTTTTGGTAGAAATTTTGTGTAGTTATATCATTTATTATGCAGGATTTTTCATGAATTAAATTGTATTTTATTTAGTTATTTTTTCTTTGTTTCGCTGCTATTAGCAGTGAAAGAAGCAAGGTTATCAGATAGCCAGTCCGCTTTGATTAATTGGATAAATTCAAATTTTAGTTGTTGTCCTCGACAAGTTCTATCTAGCCTTTGAACAGGTCTTTTGTATCTTGAATTTTTTGCCGAATAAAATTGAAATGCAGGTTGTTAAGAAACCCCTCTTCTCCCTTTGAAAAGCCTCAGAATTTTATCATACAATAGAGTGAATATTGTGCAGCATCGATTTACTAGATGACTTTTTGTCAACAGGCAGACCCGGAGAAGGCCCTTGATTTTAGTATCAGAATCGAGAACTTTTTGTATTGTGATAACATTCGTATATCAAGGCCATTGAGCATGATGTCTTCTTATATTATTCACTTGGAGTTACAAGATACAAAGAGGCGGTCTCTTATTCTTAATGTCAAGGTGTCTTTCGAGCCTGGAGGATCCCTTCGTGTAAGTGATTTGATATAAAAATCCAAAGTAACTGTTCGAAATAGAAAGCTTAGGCAACAACTACGGCGACGGCTACGATGCTTTAAACTTTACCGCGCGTTTTCCATCTCGTTCGGTTCGTCAAATGTTGGCACATTTTTTCTGGATTTGTATTCTAAAGGCTGTATCGAAGTTCAAGAAAAGAAAAAGAAAGTCTCTGTCTTTTGTTCACCTCCTCCGCAGAACTTGAAATTAGGCATTTTGACGTCGAAGTCGTGCAGAGACGGCAAAGAAATGTACAAAAAAGCGTGATCACGTGCAGAGTTGTTGTTTTGCCAATCCAAACCTTTTTTTTTTGCCCTTCTCGTTGACGTCGCTGTCGTCGTTGCCTAAGCTCCCTTGTAAATAGAAGACTGTCACTGCTTTGCTGCATTTCATCTGTTAAACCTTAACTCGAGATTTTGTAAGTTCTTATTCCGAGATTCAACTCAGTCCTGGTTCGATTTCCGCCGCTTTCTCGGTCCTCCACGAGAAGACGGAATAGCGTAGCTGTTAAACAAGCCTACCCAAGTCAAACTCACCCTTATTTGGTCTACTTACGATTTTTACACTTTGCTGTTGCTTTTATTGCCATCGCATTCGTAATTGCTTATGTCAATATCATTGTCATCTGCACAAAATAAACCTTTCCTGTACCTAAACTGCGCATGCAGCAATTGGAAAATTGCTAGTTGATTGCACTTTTAACATCATATACCATCATTTTAACTGAATAGGTGTCGATATATGCTCCTTACTGGATAATCAACAACACAGGGATCCCGCTGGTGTTCAAACAGGACGCTGTGAATTATGATATGGCCGGTCAGTTTGATGAACAGGAGACGGCCCCCAGCCTGACTCCCTTATTGTTTTCATTCTCTGACAGGGGCGCCCCAACAAGGTATGTGAAATAAACAGCGTTATTGTTCTGTATTTAGAAATGTTTTCGTTTCATGCTGAGTGTATTTGTTCACCATGCCTGTTAGACTTGTTGTGGTCAGAGTGGGCACGCCAAAATCAGATTTTCTGTTTTACTTCAATTAGCCCTCCTCAGACTTAGTAACGTGCTTGGATACCACTTAGAAACGGCTTGCTGCCATTCATTAGCTGTGGTCACACTAAAACCGATTTACCTAGGGCAAATTCATCAAACATCTCTCGAGGTAAATTCATCTCGGGTTTTGTTTTACCTAGGTAAAAATTCTGGAAAGTCACACTACTGATATCGGCTCCCAAAGTTTTCACGCCAGTTGAATTTTTTGGAGCGTAAAATTCAAGAAGGCAAAATGCGCAGGGATTTATCTCATCAAAGAGACGTTTTTTTCTTTTATCTCGCTGTTATTTCTTAAGCTAATTCAACGTGCAGGGTGAAGAAAGGCGAAGACGTAGACGACTCGAGCCCCCAAAATTTCTTTCGCAGCGTGATCTATGTCCGGTTCTGTCATCAAGACCTTCGCCGATGAGCGTCTATTGGCTAGCAACCTCGGTATTTCATTTTTCCCTAGCTATTGCTTTGGGGTAGCTGTCAAGGTAAACTCTATTGTTTTCGAGACATATCCAAGACCCAGACGATAAAATTTCCCCGAGGTAAGTTACTTGGGGAAAAATCGGTCACACTTAAAAAATCAATTTTCCCTAGGCAAACTCTCAACAAGTCGTGTTTACCTAGGTAAAAAGTCTGTAGTGTGACCACAGCTATTCATTCAAGCATTCATTCAGCCTACAAAGCTTTGATTGCGATCGAGCGAAGCCTTTCTAGGTTTATTCAAACGTCTTTTAAGTCTTCTAATCCAGTCATTTCAATTCGGTTGGTTTTTAACAGAATGATAAACTAGGAAGGCTTCGCTCGTTCGGACTCAAAGCTTTGTGATTGGAATAAACACTTGGATGGCTTCCCATCCAGCAAATATATACTTGCTAAGTAGTATCCAAGCACATGATCACGTTCGGCAGAGGGTCTATTGAGTGAAGAAGGACTTCCATTAGACTTGTAAAAAGGACGAAAACGGAACAGTGTGTGTGGGGGTGTTATTGAACGTGGATCATTTACTCTATAGTTTACATCCATATATACTCACCATCACGGGCTTACTGCTTTGACAGGTTATTTTTACGTATTTCTAAGGTGCTGCTTATTACAGCGTTGTGCAAAAGTAATGCTAGCGGCGAACTATCACAAGTGCAGCCAATGTTTTTCGGTGCATCTTTTATTTGAAATCTTACAGCTTTAAAATTCGTTCTAAGTCCTTATCGTTGTAGGTAAGGGTAGATAAGACCCTCTACTCAACTCACAACTGTTTCTCACGCAAATGGCGCTTTCTATTCTCTTAGTTTCCTGAATACATACTACCTAGAAATGGGGTTCCGCACCAGAAATTAGGCTGTGTTATTGTCATGAGGTGTAACACTCATTGTCTGCGTGAGAGTGATGTCATGATGACGTTCCTCCAATCTATTCTTTGTAGGTGTCAAATGCGAATTGGTCGCAGCTATCAACTCGGAAGTGGAAAGCCTGTTTGGTATGTATATTACTTCCGCTCTTCTTTATTGAATTGATAACGTCAATTTTACGCGGTAAAGGTTGAAAGGCTGAGGCTTCGAGCGCTTGCCTGTCGTTGGAGCGAATCGATTTGGCAAGCAGAAACACATGAAAAGGCTTGAAAATAAAATATATATATGTATATGCGCGAAGACACAAAACAGCTAAAAACTTAGCTTTCGTGTAATAAGCAAAGCTGCTCACCTTTATTGTTGCAATGATAAAAAAAATACTCACTTACAAAAGTACTTAGATGTTTCATGATTGCGTGTTTGCCGTCACCTTTGAGTAACAGTTTTTGACAGCGTTGTCTTTTTGCAGGAGTAATTCGTTTTCTTCGGATAGCCCCCGTGAGCATGAGTTGAAGCGTGTACATGCTAGACAAGGTGGAAGCCGCCCAGATAAGTATGTGATAAAAACTAACTGATTCACCTTCCGTTTATCAGTACAATTTAAGATAACATTGATGGTGATAGTAACTTAACCTTAAATTTATATTCCACATGTCCGTCAAACAATTGTGTGGTAAAGTAAACGTACTTGTTATGCTTCTCAATTCTGCCCACAGTTTAGCCGCAAGTTTTGCCGCGCCCGCATGCAAAGTGTCCAGCAGCGCAGTGAGCCGTCAGTTGGAGATGCGCGAGCAGGGCGCATGTCTGTTTCGTGCAAACCTCCCTGGCGAGTTTGTGTCCCTTGTCACGTCTAAGAAATTGTGATGTAACTCAGAGCTGTTTGATTGGTTAAAAACTTTGATTGTGTCATGTTGGACTGTGTTTTATCTGCAACATGCGTCGAAATAGATTTACAAATTTGAAGGAGGACTTCGTTAGAATATTACTGCTTGTAGAATAGGGAGACTTCAATAGAGCTGCTATTGATGAGACAATTTGCGTCAGAAATCAGAAGTTTCTTCGCTGTTTTATCATCGTATTCTTGGTATGTTACAAAAAAGCGTTGAATAACCAAGTAAACTTCAACTTTTTCGTTAAATAACACTAACGCAATCTTTTTTTTTAAAAAGTTACCAATAAATCTCTCGAAAGATTTAAAATATAAATTATGTTAAATCTAAATTGAAATTGTATTTATACTTGGATTTTTGGAAACCGGGTTAGCAAAAATATCAACTCATTCTACTACTTGGCAATTTAAAACAACAAAACTCATTCAAAGGCCGATTAAAAGCCTTTATCTGACGCCGGGCAGTAAGTTAATGGTCCCTAGAAGCATTCCAACGAGTCCAAATTTAAAATGACGCAAATTTTAGAACATTTCTTCAGTAAACTGACTTCGCGAAGTTTCAAACCGGTGTCATTTCAGTCTAGAAATTTTTAAGCTGAGTGAACTGCAGCGAAAGAGTGCCTGGTTAAGGCTTACATAACAACTTGAATAGTTAGCAAAACACTACTTTTTTCGCGGTTCGATGAAAAACAGGATTCCGCATGGAATAAACAACAAACTGAATGAAACGTAGTGCACAAATTATCACTTTCTTATCTGCAAAAATTTGCTTATGGTTCAATGCCATTAGAGCCCGCTGAAACTAGACCTAGATCCAATTTCCCTGAGTCGAGAGTCGCTTTTCCAAGGTACAATCAGTTAAGCTAAACACCGACGAAACAATATTAATGGCTGGCACAGAATATTTTGGCCAAACCGCAGTTCAACCACGCGATCACATACCTATCAACACCATGCGGAAATCACACACTTTCGCGGCACTGATAAGACTATCCACAACCATGCATAATCTTCTCACGTTTAACATAAGCGAAATATCATCGAATAACTCGGAAAAACTCAGCCTATTGCCAGATAAACACCTCTGGACTTTTCTCTCACACTCGTCTTAGTCAACTTCCCGGATGTAGAGTCACACGGTCGGCGGATCACCTTAGCCTTGTTTTCACACCAGGAAAAACGTCTTTGCCCGGCTTACAGCTCACCGGCAATTTTGCTCTCACGTAATTCATTTGACTCCTAAGAGCCTGTTCCCGAGGCCAAAGACTTAGTGGTCACCTTAGAAAAGCGAACAATATCGTACCTTTTTGTCTCAGCCCGGATCAGGGTGGTTGATCCGTTTAGCCAAATGAAACGAGAATATAATACGATATTGGACGATGCAGACTCTGGGAATCGTAATAACTTTGTCCCATCTCAGAGCTTTACATGATGCTCTCCGGGAAACTTTTCTCAAGGTACCGAAACCAGCTTTAGGAGCGCGCTGATTTCAAATAACTGTCACTTGTGTTAAAGAAAGAATTGTGGGTAGGGAAAAAAATCGGGAGGCTGGTGGAGGAGGGTAAGATAATAATTCTGTCTACATCCACTTCTACACAAATCCCTAACCACAAAACAAGCCAAAAAAAACATAAGCAAACAACACAGTAAACATATGTCAAGCTATAAGACAGGGGAAGTTGCGAAACATTGCAAAATGTTTGCTAGCCCGTTTTTCATAACTCCAGGTAGATTTAAATTTTTAAGTTATTTGCCATTAAAAACAGAACTCCCATAAAATTTCTTAACATTACGACTGTTACATTTAAATTTTGTTACTATACCCGCCGTGACTTTTCTTGGTTAGTGGTAAACTTAAAGCATACGTCACACTTGTTTAATAGATTGTACCCTTGGCTCATTGCGTGGTAGAAAAGAGGCAGGGACTCATTATTATTACTCATTGTTTTGTTTTTGCTCAATGTTATTATTCATTTGCTGTGAAATTTAAAGATAAATTTACTTAGAGAAAACAGATAACACGGCCATGCGACATCTTTGGCTCAGATGGTGACAACTTAAAGAGACCTTATCTAAAAATACCAAAATGATTTTTGCTCTTTTCCCTCCAAAATTTTGGATAAGCATAGTTTTGAAAGAATTTAGTCATAAGTTTTTTTTTTCAAATTTGCTCAAGTAACCAACAAAAATTCTTTTGTAGGGGTTTTTGGGTCAGTTGTGTAATGGTTCTCTATTTCATTGACTGTGAGAATTTCTGTTATAAATTTCAGAGTTTTAGTAGAATTATAGAACGCCATTGTTATGACGGTTTGATTTGCTGCTAGCTAAATGTTTTTTTATTAAAAAGGTAACTGTTAATTTTCTGACACCTGATTCCGTGCTCTGTTGTTGTTTGTGTAGGGTATATGATATCGGTATTGACGTGCGGTTTGGTCAGGGCCGATACTGTGATACGAGAATTGTTACCTTGGCAACCCGATATCAATTAGAGAATAGGACTCAGCACACGTTGACATTGTCACAGCGACACTTTGTCAGAGGACAGGTAAGTAGTTTCCGATCCCTCTCGTGAACTCTCCGCAGATGTTCTTCTTGTACCAGCAATGGTTACCAGTCATTTTGTGAATGTAATGTCAACAATGGAATTGTCTTTCGCGAATTTAAAGCACATCGGAATCACATGGATACAAATTAAAACGACGTCGGTTATCAGCTACCTCTTCCGGTAGGTTAGATAATTTAGCAGAACTCTCGGCGGCAAAGTTAAGTAAAAAAAAAAAAGCAACGGGAGAGCCCCTGGCCAGCTATTCGTACTCGAACAGTTCCACAAGCTTTTGTATATTTTGCTTCTAATTGGCCAGAATAGATTTTTGTAGCCAATCAGGTGCTGGGCGATTCCAGTCCATCTTGAACCACCTCGGACCTCTCTCGTTCTCTCTTTAAAACTGCTCCAGTAATTCGCGCGTGAATATGTCGTGCATGTGGTAGCGACAACAACAACAACCAAAACTTCTTCGAAGTCGAGGCTAAGGCGGCTTAGCTCGTGAGAATTAGTCATTACCCGCTCCCGGTTAGCTCAATTGAAAAAGCGCCGGTCTGCTGAGCGGGAGGTCGCGGGTTCAAACCCCGGCCGTACCAACACTCAGGGTCTTTTAATAACTGAGGAGAATGTGCTGCCTTTGTAATGAGATCTAGACTTAGACTTTCTAGTTAGACTTTCTAGTCTTCTCGGATAAGGACGAAAAACCGTAGGCCCCGTCTCACAGCTTTTTCACTCTTCTGATTCTTGTGTGACATAAAAGAACCCAAACTAATGTTCGTAAAGAAGAGGTGACGTAGACCCCGGTGGTGTGGTACAGCCATTCACGGGCTGGGTGAGTAATGAAGGGGTTGATATCAATTGGGACGTTGGTCCTGTTTCATCCCCTGTCACGGTGTTGAGTTACCGTGGCGAATTCAATAAAGTAAAGTGAAGTAGAGTAACTTCACCCCTGCTCCTTTGTCACTTCAACTCACAGTAGCTTAGTTCACCGAGAGATGTTAATTCCTACCAGGATTTAAGATTTTTTGCATTTATTTCCCGTTATTCCTCTTAATTTTTAGGATTTGACGTTCAGAATAAACTATGATGATTTTCACTTTTAGACACTTATAAACACTACATTTCAAATTTCCTTTCATCCGTTTTTTCATGCCTGTTCTCTTACAATAAAATTTAGGCAGCAACAAACCCCGAAGGCGCTCTCACAGCTTTACCAGGAGCCTTGGTGCGTTTTTACTGGCCCCGAACAGACTTGGATCAACTCCTATGCATCAGGTAAGGCTCTAGGCTTGATTTCCGTCACTCTCTCGGTCCTTTCCGTGATGAGATGGCTGGATGCGTTATTGACTGATCGCGTTCGGGGGAACGCGGGCTCACTTCTCGAACAGAAGCTGGTAATCGAGCCTATGGGGTGTACTATTCTATACGTCGCTTGCATTGATTTACGTTAACTGGAGTTAGCTGCAATAAACACATGAAATAATACACCTCTTACATGTAGGTCTACTTACCGCCGGCAATATTCATAGCACGAATGCTAGTGGGGCCGATAAATGACTGAAAAAAAATTATAAGCATGGGCGAGGATTTCAATTCGGGAAGACAAGAGAAAATTCAACTAGCTGCCTGGGCGGTACCTGAGCTCGGGGACACTGGAATGCAAGCCCAGGGCTCTGTCCGCTCCGAAACGCTGCCTCGCGCACGCTTGTACGTAAATCAAATCCGTAGTGTGTTATTTGAATTTGTCTTTGCTGCAATAAAATTTGAATTTGTTTCGTTTAAGATGTTGGTATTGATGACAACTTTTTATTTACATGCACGAAACGCGAATGAAGAAACAAACGATTGCTAGCTGAACAGCAGAGGTTGCGAATCTGGCCGGCAACAGACTTGTCGGCTGTTCTACAGAAAACGGTGCCTATTATTGATATGTATTCTTAGAGGTATTGAGCACGACCTCCGGTTACTTCCAGGCTTTTAAATTCTCCGCCTGCTTATTGCATATACTCTGTACTCAGCAACTTGAAATCTTAATGACATCTAGCCCCTGCTGGTAAGGTGATAATGAACTTACTTGAATTCCTTGGTTTTGTAGATTAAACGACGTTCCCCATTGCCAGTGGTCTAAGGGTTTTAAGATTGACAGAGACCATTCACTCCATGTTGACATGAGGTTCGTTAACCCCTGGTAGTAATCACTGGTATAACATCTGATACGATTTAAGTCAAACTAGCTGATCACGGATCACACAGTCGCCTATTCACACTTGGAGACAAATCAGGGCAAGCGTGCCACCTTAAATTCGCAGTTAATTAAATGAAAATTAAGCCTTTTAGTCACTGCCGCAAGCCTTCGTTCCTGCGTTCATGATGAGCAGTGATTAATTATTAAACTAATCAATTCATTTATAGCATCTACGGAAGTAGGCTAAACCTGGTTGAATAGTATAACATTTAGTCGTTAACAACAACCGCCGCCCGGTTAGCACAATTTGATAAGCGCCAGACTGCTTAGTGTCGGACGTTAAAGAACCCAGTAGTCCCCGCTGTGGTGGTCTATCTCATATGGGGGAAAGGGACTGTTAAGGGCCTGCGTAGTGGCGCCAGGCCCTGTTGTGGGGACCCTGCAAAGAACTGTCGAACCTAAGTAAATGTAAAGTTATTGGGTTAGGTGAGTCAATCAACACTAAACATAGTAATTCACCGAGAAATGCAGTCGTGTGACTGGTTTGCTAGACGGCCTTATCTCACTCAATCCGACAGTCAACCAGAGAGCAAGCCAGTCAGTCAGACAGACCGTTTATCAGACACTGAGTCCTTAAAAGCCAGGTAATTAAATGATATTATCTGGTTTGCCGTCCCCATGTTTAGGAGCTTGAGTGGCTGTTCGTTGTTTGTCAGTAGAGTAGAAGTGGTGCTGAGAGGAGCTACATTGCATGTTCTGTTCACCGATGCCTCACAACTACCGCCACCATTCAGGATCGACAATTTATCGGAGGTTTGTATTTTCAGTGACACATTTTAGGTCTACTGCTTGTAATAAAAAATTATCAGGTTTTTTTTAACTGTTTTATATTTTCTAGTTGTCCGCTTATTCATCTTAGTCGGATTCGCTAGTGAGTAAAAGTGTAGACATTTTAAAACCTTGAGAGACGAAATTTAAGTACCTCACTATCATTGACTATTCCTTGTATACGTTTTGCTTTCTTTCGATTTTTCCGTCCCTTTCCCTTTTTTGAAATATGTTCTGGTGCGAGCGGATTTGACTTGGCTAAGTGAAAATTCTGAACTGCTGAAAAACAAATAGCGCAAATTCTGTAGGGGCACTTTTCTGGTGCACGTGAATACTAAACGATGTTGTATAAATAAATAACGTTTCGTCACAGTCAGGAGATGAAGATTCAACAGCGGTTGAGGTGCAGGTTCGTTTGGTTGGAGGCATCGGTATCTCTGTTATTAACTCCGTGCCAGAAGAACTTGTATTTGTCAATTTGGAGGAAATAAAGGTAAAGTACTTAAAACAGTCTGCATTAATCGTTCATTTAGTTTTGTTGTAGTTGAAATTGTGTATTGGATTGGACATTTGTAGAACGACGAAATTTATAGTAGAGAAGTAGGAAAGATTCACTTATTCGTTTCACAATTTCGAAATACTTATCGTGGGATTAAATTGATTAAACTTTTACAAGTGTAATTTGTTGTGTGTTCTATTGTTTTTGTTTTTTTTTTTTTTAGACTCTTAAATACATGTAACAGAAAACATGGTAAATAGTTTATAAAGATCGCTTTTGTTCAAGATTCTTGGGCTCTCCTCATCAACTTTCAATACCTTGACACCCGACCTGCTTCGGGTTGTCTTCACGCGCAGACGGCCTGATTTATATTGTGATTGCTTTCTTATTGTTTTGGTTCTTAACTTACAGATGGATTATTTACGAACTAGTCAGTTAGAGACATTGGAAGGCAGCATAGAACGCATTCAGGTAAGTATAGAGAAATTCTCCTCCCTTGGTTCAATTCTTATTATGGGAGACTTTTACTCCAGAGTAGGCAAACACCCGGACAGTGTTTGTCAAGAAGGTAATAAGATAATAACAAACGATTTTTCTGAATCTTCGTTCTGAATCTTCGTTATGCGTCACCCAACGAGAAAGTTTTGATAATGATTTGAATAATCATGGAAAACGACTCTTGGAAATTTGTAGAAGCGCGGACTTTTAAATGGTAGAATCAATGGCGACTCTTTAGCTTTAGGCAGACCTACATTTCATGGTAAATCGGGAATCAGTGTCATTGATTACTTCATATGTGACCAAGATTTGCAACGAAATATAACATCTTTTGTAGTGAAAGAGCCGAACAGTTTATCAGATCATAGTCCAATAATAACATGGCTTAAGGTTAACCGTCATTTAGATAATGATTCATCAAACGAGGCAATTATAAATGATTCTTTGACTCGATCCTCTACCAAAACAGTTTTTTTGGGAAAACGATTCGTCACAAAAATTTAGAGCTACATTACAGTCTGAAGACATCCAAAGAATGATCCACGATTTTATGAATACTACAACAATCACGAGAAATGTTGACATGAACCTTGATGCAGTAGAAAATATTCTTATCTAAACCGCAAAACGTTGGTTGAAAATCAAAACAGCAAAAAAGCGACGTAGCAAAATATCTTCGAACAAAAAATGGTTCGACAAAGAACGCCGTTATAAAAGACATGAACTGCGGAAACTTTCTAATCAAAAACACAGAGATCCTCTTGACAATACCCTCAGGGAAGAGTATCACAGCGTCTTAAAGCAATATAAAAACCTTTTGAAACCTAAGAGAAACGAATACTATAGCAATAAGATGTGTGAACTCGAAAATACGGTCGAAAATTCCAACAATAAGAGCTTTTGGAACTGTTTGAAGTCAATGGACGACACTATTAAGGAAACCTACACCCCTCCAATGTCTGAAGAAAAATGGATGTCCCACTTTCAATCTCTGCACTCGAATGAACCCCTTAATGAACAACAGGAGGCAATTATTGATGAGTTGCAGAATGCAAAGGATATTACAACACGATCTCACTCCTTGGATTACCTCATCACTGAAAGATTCGCACTGCAGCTGGAAAACTCAAAAACAACAAATCTTCTTTTTCAGACAAAATCAAAAACGAAATGATCAAATCTAGCCCAAACGAATTAATGCCTGTTTATCTAAAACTATTTAACACGGTCCTCAACTTAGCTTAAGAACTATGCCCCAGATGTGGTGTGATGGCCTCATTACTCCAATTTTTAAATGTGGTACTAAAAGCGATCCATTAAACTGCCGTGGAATTTTTATGTCAACTTGTATTGGAAAACTATTTTGCTCAATTCTCAATCAGAGACCTCTAAAGCACGTTGACTTAAATAATATACTTCACAAGTCTCAAATTGGTTTTCTAGCAAATGATAGAACAGCAGATAATGTCCTCACACTTCGAACATTAATAGAAAAATATGTCCATTGTCACAAGGAGAAAATATATGCGTGTTTTGTTGACTTTAGGAAAGCACCTTTATTCGGTTTGGCATGATGGGCTTCTCTATGAGTTATCTAAAATCAATGTACAAGGAAAGTTTTATAGTGTAATTAAGAGTCTATGCTCGAAGTCTTCCTGCTCTGTGAGGGTTGGAAATAACAGAACGCGAACTTTTCAATACGCAAGAGGAGTGCGGCAAGGTGCATTTTAAGCCCTCTGCTCTTTAACTTATACCTTAACGATCTAGCGTTCTCATTTGACAAAGTTTTATCAGACCCTTTCGTGTTACCAAATGGCACCAGACTCAACTCTCTCCTTTACGCAGATGACTTGATAATATTATCGCGATGCAAACTTGGACTACAAAACTGCCCTAACGTTCTGTCTTCATATTGAAAAAACCCATTTGCAATTCTGCAAACGTTATTTACAAGTACATAACAAGGCATCCAACATTGCTTGTAGAGCTGAACTCGCTAAATTCCCCATGATCATTGATATAAATAAAAAGATTCTGAATTACGTAGGCTATCTGATAGGTAGAGGTGAAGATTCTATAGTCAAACAGGCCTTACAAATTTCAATTGACCTTCACCATAACGGAAAAACTAGCTTTTACTCTAATATCATGAAGATGGTTGACTACTACGATCTAAACTATGACTTTTCCTCTAATTCATTGAGTGACTCAATAGTTAATCGGTATATCGGCATAATAAAAAATAAATACGTCTCTTACTGGAATCAGACCCTTCAACAATCACAAAAACTCAGTTTTTATTGTACAATCAAAGACGACTATACCACCTCGCCGTACCTAGTTTTAACAAGAAAAAACCCTTCGAGAAAAACATTAGTTAAACTCCCGAGAATAAGTAGTCATCAACTTAGAAATTGAAACAGGTAGATACGAAAAAATCCCTCGCAATGAAAGGATATATGTTCCTTTTGTACAAGTAACAAAACTGAAGATGAAAATCATTTCTTACTAGATTGTAAGGCTTATTGTCAGATCAGAGACATATAGAAAAAAAAATAGAAACTAGAAACTAAAATACCTGACCTCAAATCACTTTCACACGATACTTTAATATCTCTTCTTATGAATTCCGCTGATTATTTAATTGACTGTCAATTAGTTTCATTTATCTCGCAATGCTTTGAATTAAGAACCAAATTAATATCAATGAATGAATGAATGAGAACTGTAACGTTTTGTAATATTTTGCACGCACTAATTAGTTGAATTAGTACTTAAATTTAGACTAATAGCTTTCGCAATACTGTAATTCCTTTATGGTCATGCAAATAAAGAATTTGGTGTTGTTGTTGTTGTTGTATCTCAGGAATACTGTGCATTGTCTTAACTAGGGTGCCTGTGGACGGTTAAAAAAATTGAGGGATTAACGTTTTTGCTTAATTAATGGGGCTTGCCATTTGGACAGACCATCCGGGTGGAAATCTTGTGTTTAAAACTATAAAATGTGACGTGATGGAAAAACAACCCGCTACAAAGTTTATCCAGACCACCCGAACAGACTATAAGATAAGAAAAATTGCATCGCCTCAGTCAATTCACAACGTCATATTTTCTGAAGCTTCCCAAACAGAAGTATTTGCCATGAAGCACTTTGAGGAATTGTGGAAGATTGTTGTTATGTTGGTGTTGTGTTTTAAATTTTCAACGCATATAACTGTTGTTATTTGTATTTCGCTTTATAGATTGACAACCAGTTGTTTGCCAGTCAGCTTCCGGTTCTACTCTACCCCTCCCCTCCTGAGGAGGGCAGCATGGAAGAGACCACTTTGCAACAGCCAACGCTTTATATTTCAGCTACTAAAGAACCAAGCAGGCTGCCTAATGTAGAGATATTTAAGGTGCGTCAACTAACAATAACAGCCTTACTGTTATTATTCATTCAAAAATATTTGTCACAGATTGGCTAAAATCTCTTGGCTACTTCTTCTTATCCCGCTGGCTTTGACCAATTTTAATTGGAAGGTGTTTGCTGACATTCTCAAGATGACACCAGTTTTACGCATAATTCACGGGAAAAGGGACTGCAGAAGGCGCGGTTCCTCAGCTGTCTCGGCAGTCTAGAGCCTTCGGTCGCGGT